AAAAAAACAAGAAACTTCTAAAGGAAACATTTTTTTATTGGATTTCTACTTATTGAGTAACATCTACTTGAAAACTTTGCTGCGCAAAAAAAAGTTGGCCATATTATGGTTTGCTATAAAAAAACAATTTTAGCTAAAATGTTTTACCCAAAAAATTATTAAACTTTGATTTTTTTATAAAAGGCGGTATTTAACTGTAACCCTTTAATTTGAACACCCGGTATATTTGACATTTTTTTTGAACGTAAAATAAAAATTCTACCACACGATCAGGGGGTCGATTCTCGATTCGTAGGAATTCTGTTTCTCGCGGGCCATTTTTGCTGGTCATATTGTATGTAGGGTTTATTTAAATGAGTATGGATATATTAAAAAAAAACAAAAAACAACTCGAGAACAGTACAAGTTGTATTTATTGGATTTGAAAAACAAACCAAATTTGTGTAGGTTACGGAGAAGTATTATAGGTACTTCCATAATATAGGTTTTGTTACAGTTTCGCAGTGCTACTTTAGGAACATCACTGTTAATAAGAATCCAATAGTAAATGATTGAATGGGCAATCCTAACTTTGAATCAGATTTATTTTTAAAATAATTAAATAAATTAGAAAAAAATTCCTTACAAATTTTACTTGCTGTATTAGGTATATGGCAATTTAGTTGTAAAATTTGTAAAAAAGTGTTTTTATTATTTAGAACATATCCTGATTCACAATAAAAAATGAGAGGGAATGCAAAAAATCACTATAACGACACTTCATATTATTAACGACAGCTCTTTGGCTATCGTTGATGAACGACAATTTTACAACCATGTTTGTCTATTTTCAACGACAATCGTTGTCTACTGAATAAGAAAAGTCGTCTGTGAACGATTATCGTCTATTAACGACGTCGTTCAGAGTTACTGAATAGGCCCCTAAAACGCCCCTATTAAAAATATTGCGCCAATATGTAGGCAACACGTAATAAGGGTTCAAAATGGCGGAGTTTTCTATCTCCTTTTAAAAGGCACTCAGAAAGCTGCGCAGTGCGACCATTCTCCGTATAGTAAAAGAAAATCAAAGTATGTGTTGAGATGCGACTCTATGGGCGAAGAGAGGTTATTTTTCATCTCACTCGGGAGTATTTATATCAACCATTTTCTATTTCACTTTGTCATTGTCTGATCCACCAGGGGCCCAATTCCTGACGCCTTCGTTAACTTATCGCATGCGATAACGTATGCGACTTGATGAAAGTGTATTCCTGAACTGGCGGCATTCGTCAAATTTATTAAAGTATGCGCTAAGAAATGATGATTTTCAAAGAGCGCTCATGACCGTTCGACAACTACTTTGTCGCATTCGTTTAGGTGAAAGTAAGGTTATAATTGTCAATTAATCCTGCTTTATCATATGTGATTCGTGTTTCTATCTATTGGTTTTGTTTTGTGATTTATTATTGGGAAATATTTATTTTTAATTTGACTCTATTGAACATTTTATTAGAATATAAAAATGAAACTTTTTGTACCGTGAACTCTTTTATTGGACGTTTAGGTGCCACTTTATTTTGGTTTATTTTATTTAGTATGGATGATATAGAAGAAATATGAGTTTTACAGGCACTAAACAATGTTATAAATTCTACTAAAGTTTCACGCAATTTTTCCGTTATTCGTGAACCACGCTGTTCCATTTTTAATATTCTAAATCTAAACCACTCCAATTCTCAAGTCCAAAATACAAATAATCACAGTTAAAACGTCTAAAAACCAAAAATTATTAGACATCCAATCCATTTAATTTTATAATTTTTGGCAATTTTGACATGTGTCAATGCAATTATCTCATATTCAGTGATACCATCTTTGGTATTCTCAATCCTCATTGGTTAAGACTATGCAATAATCAAAGACTCTTCGTTAACACGTTCGACTTGATTCGCGATTATCGCATGGTGTTCAGGAATACTAAATTGCTGTCGTATGCGTTAACGACCATGCGTTACTTAGCGCATGCGGCAGTTAACGCATGTTTCGAGAATTGGGCCCCAGGGGCCCAATTCCTGACGCCTTCGTTAACTTATCGCATGCGATAACGTATGCGACTTGATGAAAGTGTATTCCTGAGCTGGCGGCATTCGTCAAATTTATTAACGCGTGCGCTAAGAAATGATGATTTTCAAAGAGCGCTCATGACCGTTCGACAACCACTTTATCGCATTCGTTTAGGTGAAAGTAAGGTTATAATTGTCAATTAATCCTGCTTTATCATACGTGATTCTGATTCATGTTTCTATGTATTGGTTTTGGTTATGTTTTGTGATTTATTGGGAAATATTTATTTTTAATTTGACTTTTTTGAACATTTTATTAGTTACTATAGAATATAAAAATTAAACTTTTTGTACCGTGAACTCTTTTATTGGACGCTTAAGTGCCAGTTTATTTTGGTATATTTTATTTAGTATGGATGATGTAGAAGAAATAGAAGTTTTACAGGCACTAAACAATGTTATAAATTCTACTAAAGTTTCACGCTGTTTTTCCGTTATTCGTGAACCCCGCTGTTCCATTTTTAATATTCTAAATCTAAACCACTCCAATTCTCAAGTCCAAAATACAAATAATCACAGTTAAAACATCCAAAAACCAAAAATTATTAGACATCTGCAATCCATTTAATTTTATAATTTTTGCATTTTTGGCAATTTTGACATATGTCAATGCAATTATCTCATATTCAGTGATACCATCTTTGGTATTCTCAATCCTCATTGGTTAAGACTATGCAATAATCAAAGACTCTTCGTTAACACGTTCGACTTGATTCGCGATTATCGCATGGTGTTCAGGAATACTAAATTGCTGTCGTATGCGTTAACGACCATGCGTTACTTAGCGCATGCGGCAGTTAACGCATGTTTCGAGAATTTGGCCCCAGCTTGTGGATTGAACAATAACAATGTGAAACAGAAAATGTTTTTATAAATACTCCCGAGTGAGATGAGAAATAAAAATGGCTGCGCCCATAGAGTCGCATCTTGTTCTATTGATACAATATGCACATTGGCTTTCTACCCCACTCCAGTTCATTGGGCAACACTGATTGGAAAAGAAGAAATAAGAAATCCTCAATGAACTGGAGGGGGGTAGAATGCCAATGTACATGTTGTACTATTAGAACAAGGTGCGACTCGATGTCGATGGGCGCAGCCATTTTTATTGGTCATCTCACTCGGGACTATTTATAATAACCATTTTCTGTTTCACATTGTTATTGTTCAATCCACAAGCTGGTGGATCAGACAACAACAATGTGAAATAGAAAATGGTTATTTTAAATACTCCCGAGTGAGATGAAAAATAACCTATCTTCGCCCATAGAGTCGCACCCAATGAACTGGAGTGGGGTAGAAAGCCAATGTGCATATTGTATCAATAGAACAATATGCGACTCTATGGGCGCAGCCATTTTTATTTCTCATCTCACTCGGGAGTATTTATGATAACCATTTTCTGTTTCACTTTGTTATTGTTCAATCCACATGCTGGTGGATCAGACAATAACAAAGTGAAATAGAAAATGGTTGTTATAAATACTCCCGAGTGAGATGAAAAATAACCTGTCTTTGCCCATAGAGTCGCATGTCAAGCCTATTGACAAGCATTCTACCCCCCTCCAGTTCATTGGTCGCACCTCAAGTCTATTAGGCATTCCAAACTGAATGCCTACCAGTGGGCTTTGACGGGTTATGATAATGCAAAATTATGGCAACCCTGTAGACCTGGTGATTTGACAAGGTCAATGAAATAGATAGTTACATAGATTGATTATCCATATTTTTCAAAATAAACATAAGCGTATGCCTTGAAGTAAAATTGTAAGCAATTATTTTTTTTTAATATCTAAAGGCTAAAAATTGGTTTTAAAACACATTTTTGCAAAACCGATTCAAATTAATAAATATTTGCCAGGCAATATGGCCGCTCGTAAACGACCAGCTTTGAGCAATCTATATAACTATAGATGTATCATTGACCCTGTTAATGACAACATGACAACAGGGTTGCCATATCTAAACTGTCATTACCCACTGGTAGCCATTTGGACAGGTCGTTGGAATGCCTAATTGACAAGCATTCTACCCCACTCCAGTTCATTGGAAATCCTATGTAAATCATAAGGTTCTTTCGTTCGCTATTGGTGTAGTGTCCACCAGTGTAAATTACACCAGTTACACCACCTTATTTACCTTAGTTTACTTCCCTCCTTATTCCTTATACATATTTCGAGTGTAATTCACTCCTGCTAAATAGCTGATGGAGAAAATATCCACCAGTGGACACCACATCGCCGACAGGAAGGTTTAGTGGATTTTACACCGGGCCGAACGAAAGGTTTAGTGTACGTTGGTGTAGTTCATTCCTACACCAATGGGACGAACGAAAGAACCTATACTTTCTCTTTTTCTATGGAATGTCATGTTCATGAAAACGAAAACGTCATACAAACGTCAAATACTAATTAGTTTTGTCAACCATAATGAAATAAATACGGAGATTACTAATTATCAATTTTCGCAATTGAAATTGAAATGGTTGTTTTTATTTTCATGAGTGGTTTTAAAAGTAAGTCAGAAATAATATACATACTACTTTACCATGTAGAACCATTCTAGCTCAGAAAAGATATTAAATGTTTTTTTTTTCAAATAATTGGAATTTAAATATTTAGATATATTTGTTAGTAGGTAGGTACTATTTTATTGTATGCGTCTTTTCCAATTTTAACGTATTTTCAAAAATTGTATCATTAAACATTAAACAAATAATGTTCAACATTTTTTTTAAGTTATTTTTCTAAGGTTGATTGCAGATTACCAAATATGTACCTATCGCCAATTAGTAAATATTAAACATTTATTCGAGTAAAATATGCAATAATTTATTCAATTTAGTGTTATCCCATGAAAATAAGTATTATTTGAATTATTGAGTTAAATCTGTTTTAGATGGATAAGTTCACTGTAGATCTAGACCAAGTCTTAAATGACTTTGAATATAGTGAATTAACAGACCAATATAATGCAGCAAGATCCCAAATAGACACTTCTAGTTCTGTAAATCATAACAATGTTACAAAACATTCAATAAACAATGTATTTCATAGCTTAAATGAGTATTTAAATACCAGTGTTGATGTACCCAATACTGAAAATAATATCCAGACAGATGATTTGTTGAAAAAAATTGAAAATATTAGTGTGGAGAATCTGGGGAGCCCTTTTGATGATACGGATTATAGTAAACCTGTAGAAGAGTGTGCAGATAATACATTTTTAGAAGAGGATAAGGAATATAAATTTAATGAAAATACTACTTTTGCTAACAAAGCGCATGTTAAAGAATTGAATGAACCTTTGAATAATACACAAAATACTGTGCATGAGAACATAGATGTACATCAGAAAAATAATGATCTAGTAGAAAATCTGAATCCAATATGTACAGATGAAAATTCAATTAAAACACTAGTTAAATGTGATGAAGCTGATTTTAAAGAAAACATTGGAAATGAGGACAATTTTTGCTTATCTAATGATGAAAAAACCAGTGATCTTATTCATCTGGATTCTAACTTAATTTCCAATGATTCTAACAAAATTGAAAATAATTTTATAGTAAACGAAACTGTGGATGAACCTAACTCAACTACTGCAAATAATCAAATCATTGAAGATTTAGTTACAAAAAATAATGATGAAACATATGTAGATAAGGTGGAGGTAAATCCAATAGGTTTTCAAGAAATTACTGATGTCGATGATGAGGAAATTCACGAACTGTTAGCTGAATTAGAGAACGAACAGCATTTGTTTGAGAGTGAGAATGATGCCACTAATACAAAATTGGAAGATGATAAGGAGACAGAAGGTACATAATAATTTTTTTTTTATAGAATAACCAAAAATATCTAAATATCAAATGACATTTTGTAATTGTATTTTTTCAATATAAGGTAAGAGCACTAGTAACACATCTTATGGCGATTTAATGTAATTTTGGATACACCAGTAATCGACACTTTTTTACCAGATATATCTCCTCCAGTTATTGATGGTTTAACCAGTTATCATTGCCTCTGATATTGACAGTTTCACTAGTTATCGTCAATCCAGTTATCGTTGCTTCAGTTATCGATACTACAAAGACAGCATTAATAAGTCAAACACTACAGCCCCATAATACCTCAGTAATCGACAAAATTTTATCAAAAATATGTGTTTTAGAATGCAAATATACTTTACACATAATTTTATTCACAAATATTAACTATTTAAAAAGAACCAGCCTATTTTATAATATACTTACAAATGTGCACCATTTTTTACCGCTTAACTAAAATTGTGACCTTTTTAGCTTATTATTTATCAACTTATTGTACATTATAGGTATACTGAGAGGTATACTATGTTTGTGACTTGTCTTATATCATGTAATACAATAAGATCAATAAATTAATTTATCTATTGCAATAATTTTTACACTATTGCCAGATACTGAATTTTAAAGGGTTGACTAATGGTGCACTGTCGATTATTGGTGCTCTTAACTTATAAATATTTTACAAGTTAAATCATAATTTTTATAATGCAGGGTGTTAACTTTTTTGGAAATCTAGGAGGCCTTAAGTAGTGTCATGGAAATATCAGGGAATTTTATGGAGTTTCTAGAAATATATTTTTTTTTTTTTAATTTTATGACTTACCTAGGTACTAAGTTTTGAAAATAATAGATAATAGGAATGTCTAACAGTTGCCATACATAAAAAAAAGAATTTCTTGCACTATAAAAATTATGCAAAAAAATGTATCTATAAAAATGTAACTGTAATGTATCATACTTAAAATTATTTAATTATTTGTCTTAGAGGTAAATTGTAATATTTAAATTTTTAGGTTGATACCTTATTTGAATGTAAAAATATAGAGACCAGTTTAAAACTTAATAAATTATAAGTAATTGACAACACAGCTAGGCCAACTACTAGCTGTCTACCAGTTTGTTACACGTTGCCATGTGTCTGGGAATTTGTTTTCTCTCGCATTTTTTACCCTGCAATAAAACGGCCACTTTTGAGTGCGAAAGTTTGGATGTATGTTTGTTGCTCAATCACGCAAGAACGGCCGAACGGATCTGGATGAAATTTGGCACAAATATATATTATAGTCTGGAATAGCACATAGGCTACTTTTTATCCCGAAAAAAATGTATGGTTCCTGTGGGACTGATTTGTTTTTGTTTTTCACAGAGCAAGTGATCGGGCATAATTTTTTTGCATAGTGGTAGTGAAACATAAAAATTTGAAATACTGCCACTGAGCATAAATAAATAATGACGTGTTTCAATGATTTTGGTTTTTAACATTTTAAGGGGGGGGGGGGGAACGGGGGTTAAAAGTTTGCATGGAAGCATCGATTTTTTTATAGGTAGGAACGAAAATTTGAATTATAGCTACTCATCACAAATAAATAAGAGTTTTGGATTTTCATATTTTAAGAGGGGAAAGAGGGTAAGAGAGGAAATGAACGAAAGAAGTAAAAATGGGGAAATGAGAAAAATGTGTGGGGAGTGAAAATTTGTGGTAGGAACTTGAAAAATGGAATTGTAGGTACTCTTCATAAATAAATAGACATGTTTCAAAGTATTTGGATTTTACATATTAAGGGAGGAAACGGAACGTGAAAGTTTGAATAATACTTTCGGTTTTTTAATTGTAGAAATTTAAAAATTGGAATTGTATCTACATGATGACATAAGAAAATAATGACATATTTCAAGGTTTTGGATTTTCACATTTTAAGGAGGAAGAAAAATATCTTAAAATAAAAAAAAAATAAATATATAAATAAATGAAAACTAAAAATAAATAAATAATAATTAATAATAATGAATAATAATTAATATTAATTAATAATAATTAATAATAATAATAATTAATAATAATTAATAATAATTAATAATAATTAATAATAATTAATAATAATTAATAATAATTAATAATAATTAATAATAATTAGTAAAAATTAATAATAATTAATAAAAATTGTATTAATTTTATTAAATTATAAACACGACATCACGTGTGCAAAGCCGCGGGCAAAACCTAGTATTCCATAAAGAAAATGCAACGTCAATAATATTTCATTTGCAGTGGCAATAATCACTGTTGAGTTCAGTTCGTTAATTGTTTGGTTTCTTTTCATGAGCGTTGGAGAGAATTGGATAACAATAAATCCTGGTAAATTATTTTATTTACTGTTTTTCTTTTGAAATTATTTAAACGTCATTTACAATGAATCAGGAGTTACTTAGCTGTAGCACCCTTGTGCGATACGGATAAAAGTAACTCCCGATTCATTTTTCGAAAGCGAACATTTTTCAGATTATACAGTGGATGAAGCAGTAACATTTTGTGGGAAATGAAAGAAAGTTTCATACAGTACGGTTTATCAAGCATTAAAAAAATCGAGCTAAGAAAATTAAAAAGCAAGATCATCGAATATAAACAAAAAAAAAACGGGAAAGAAATGTTAGATGATAATAATAAATAATAATAATAGCCTTTATCTAATCCTTAGAATCATAAGTATCTTACCAACTCTATCCAAGATATTCGAAAAAGTTATATACAAACAAATATGCTTGTAAGACAGATATACTTCCTAATAGCCAATGCGGTTTTAGGAAAGGCTATTTCACATCCATAGCACTAACTACTGTAACGAGTGATATAATTGATGCTTATGATAAAGGATACATTACTGTACTTACACTTTAAGATTTTTCTAAGGCGTTCGACACCATCGAACACAGGTTGATGGTATCAAAATTAAAATATTATGGTTTTCATTATTCAGCAGTTGCGTTGGTAAAATCATATTTAAGCAGTAGGTATTAACGTGTATGTTACAATAATACATTTTTGAATTCTATGAATTTTTTATCTGGTGTTCCCCAAGGCAGCGTCCTGGGACCGCACCTTTTCTTAATTTATACTTCTTGCATTATCAAATCCATAAAAAATTGTAAAGTCCAGGCCTACGCTGACGATATACAATTATATTACAGTTTTAAAAACGATCATTCCTTAACTGCTAATCAACTTATTAATGAAGTTCTTAAACTTATTTATGAACTTTTAACATAATTTAAAACTAAATGCATCGAAAACTTGTGTAAAAAAGAATTGTTAAAAATCAATTATTAATAACAACAAGTTGCCAATTGTTGAATCAGCTAGATATCTAGATATATATTTAGATACAGATTTAAGATTTAGAGAACATGTAGGTAAAATTACCCGTTCAGCTTATCTTTATTTAAAATTACTTTACTCCAGCAGGCATATTCTTAATCATAATCTACAGATAAAACTTAGTGAAACTCTCGTCTTGTCCAAACTAAACTACTGGGATTTTATCTATGGACCCCGCTTAGACTTGAACACTCAATATAGAATTCAGAAAATTCAAAATTCGTGCACAAAATTAATATTTAGTCTTCGCAAATATAATCATGTTACTCTTAAAATACGAAAATTAAATTGGCTTAATATGAAGGAACGCAGGACACTCTATTTAGGTAAATATTTTCATAAATTAATAAAGTGCATTGACAGCTCTTCCCCACTAAATAAAAAGTTTATAACTCGTAAAACAATTCATGATCGTAACCTCCGCGATGTCACAACTTACACAATACCCCGTCATCGAACAGCCCTATTTAAAAGAAGTTTTGTATATAATTCTATTAAATTGTACAACTCTCTTCCGTTAGAATGAAAAAAATTTAAATTTATTCAAAAAATACTTACGTTCAAAATTTTGTTTGAGCTTAGATTTAATTGACCTTTTTAGTTTTTTACCTTTTATTTCATTTTCAATTACTATTTTTTAGCTTTATATAGAAAAACATAAAAATTGTTGGAATTTTTGCTCCATTGCAAATACATTTTTTGTTTTTGTTCTTATACATTCGTGTTTCAGTGGTTAAGTACGAGTAGCTACTGATTGCATCAGTATTCTATTTTTATGTTCCCATGTAAAAAATTTTTGTAAACTTATATACATTCTTTTCCTCTAATAAAGACAATTTATTATTATTATTATTATTATTATTATTATTATTATTATTATTGCCCAACAGATATAAATCCCTTTACAGAGCAACCCAAAAAAACCAAATAATAAAGATGACAAATATACATGGATATTATGAATACAAAATAAATAATATAAAAGAAAAAAAAAAGAAATTTTTAAGCATTGTCATAATTTGTTCAAGCAACTGCTTTAATTCTTTCCAAACTATCTGTGAAGAAATCTGATGAATTACAATATTCGCTCCGCACCAATTCACTTTTGCTAATGGACTATTTTTGCCTATACTGACAATACAGTTTTTAATAGAATTCGTAATTAAAAAGTATATATGTTAGTTTTAATAAAAGTATATGAATTTGTAAAACAAGTAAAACATTAATTTATTATTATATATTTTTATCGTTTAAATTAAAAAAAAATAAGTATAATCAATAAAAATCAATAATAAAATGTAGGCAGGCAACAGTATTTACGGGAAAATGTATGAGAAGTTGCCTAAGTCTAATAAGATGTATTTGAAGAATTAACCTATTCTGTCAAAATAAAAAATATCTTTAAATAATTAGCGTGAAGTTGAAATGTATAAACAAAAGTACTGTTATTTATATTTTCAATTTTGTTCGAAAGAAAACATAGAAGGAATAATTAAAACTGGTTTCCCATCAGTAAGTCACAAAATGCATTCCAGCCACATACAATAATCAAAGGCAGAAATATAGTTCTTGCTGCATGAACATTTATGATTAAAGGGATGTTGAAGAACATCGTGAAATGATATTTATTGTTTATTTAAAACCTTTCTAGTTTTTGATGTCTACTATGTCCAATATTACTGTTATTATTACAAAAATAAAGGTAATTTTTCTTATTGTACACATATCCATTTATTTCTTTGATTTAATTTCCACTTTGCTAATGAAAATTTTTATAATTTACACTGTTTTGTTTTGCTACTATTTTTATAATTTTCAACAAAGTAACTCCGGTTGCTTAATGTATTGTTTTTACCTTCTTTGAAAAAAAAAAAAAGAAAAATAAAATGTATACGTGTATTTGATATGCGAAAATTACAAAATATCGACCTAAAATGCACGAATTAACCGCAGCAAGGCTAGTATTGCTTTTGCTTCCCCTACCATGACTTCGCACTGAGAGAATAAATTATTACACAAGACATTGAGAGGTGAGCTTATTAGAATATTTGTTCTAGATCTGTTATAATAAAAAGAGGAATGACAGATTCATGAAGATTCTTCCATTTACAAGGGTTGGGAGGTTTCTTAAGTTTAGAATTATGGAATAATTATATGTACTTGCCGCTAGAGTTTAAAGGAACAATATCGTTTATATTTATTTTGGACATTTTCAATCCTTTTTACAGAGTTGTTGTAAATTGAACATCATATGGTAGAGCTGTACTCCAAAATGGACCTAACATATGCAGCGTTTGAGAATCCACATCGGATGCATCTGAGATGTAGTAAACCTTTGATCACGTGATTCAGTATACGTAACTGTAATGGGATAGATGTGTCCGATGTGGATAAAAAAACGCTCGAGATGTAAAAAATGCATCCGATGTGGATTCTCAAACGCGGCAATAAACCATTCTACAGGCATCTAAAGATAGCGAGCTAGAATTTCTTATCAGCATACCTAACATTTTCATTGCTCTATTAACAGTTTGATTAATATGATTATTAAAGGAAAGATCTGAGCAAAATACGATTCCCTGGCTTTTTAATTTCGGTAACATGATTAATTAATGTTTTGTTATCCATACAGTAGTTATGGGTTATTTTGGAGTAATGACAGATGTCAGCATTCCACTACACATTTCTAAACTTTTCCCATTGTCTATTATTTTGAAATCGTGGTATAGTTATTTTATTTTTAGTTTTCCTAACAATATGCTCATTAAGAGGAAAAAGGTTATCCATGACTCAAATGTGGTATATCCGTAAAGGAAAGAAAAATCTCAGTCTAAACCACAATAAATGTTTATTACAATACTACCTATCATTAATTGTTAATTCTTAGTTTTTACTTAAAATTTATTGTACATTTTTAATTTACATCCATGTTACAACTCTAACTATCCAGTATATTCTCTCTTACATGCCTAATGATGGTCATTGGCCGAAACTAGTCTTATGCCTTTTTAATAAACATTTGTTGCGATTTAGACTTTGAGATGTTCCCTTCCTTTATATGCACATTACTATTCAGTTTGTTAGTCAGAATTTTAGACACTATCAAAAATTGCAAAACTAACACTATTTTATACAATTTATGACAGTATAGAGCAGTATAGAAATAGACTTAGATTTTTTTGGTATTTCATATCCTTCATTCAAAAGAAGTATTACTAACCACTTTCTCAATGACACCTAAAAGTACTGTTACTGTCTGCCTTGTTAATCAAATGTTTTACATGTTATATTTTTTATATTGTTTTACTTAGTATTTGTGCTTTTAACATATATTTTTTACTTGTTGCAAAATGGGGGTTTCCCGTAAATAAATAGTTTCCGAATCTGTTTACATAGCTTAGGGACAATAACAAAAACACGACAAATCCATAAATAACCTCCCATTCCTGATACCAAAAAATCCAAACCCCTTAATAATACCGATTCGGTAAGGAGTAAGGGCTGATATATTTCACAAATATTAAATCGTGGGTGAATTGTGCAAATGGTGGGTATTCTTACCCACCATAGTCCGGAGGGCTCGCGCGAAAAACCCGCCGCTCGGGTTCGGTAGAGTGATCAATACCTATTTATACCATGACATGTAAATATATTTTATTAAATTATAAATAAAGTTTATTAAGTAAGTGTTTACATAGCTTTAATTAAAAAAAAAAAATATTCACTTATCTATGGATTAACCATTTAATAAAATAGTAGTTTACGTTATAAGTCCGTTACCACCTAAAATCAAATAAAATTTTATCATTTGACATCATCATTACAAGTTTCCGAATGTTACTTAAAATAATGACAGTTCAGTTACAACTGAGTGTTCACCCATAACTGTTGTTAAAAATTTTTCCGGGCTAGCCCGTTATGACTCCCTTAACAACCATAAACAGAGGTTGTTTATCACTGTATAACATTGCAGTATATCATAAAATTATTAAAAGATTTCAAGTTCATGTTTGTTAAAAGAATATAGTGATTCCCCTAACAAAATAAACTTTGGAAGCTGTGTATCATTCACAATGCCTTTAAAGTACGAATGAATGAAATAAATTGAGAAATAGTTCCTTTTTTAAAAATGTAGCAGCGAAGCAAATTATTTCATTGGAAACAAGAAACGAAAAATTCCATCGATAAGCAACATTATTTTGAATTTGACAAGTTACACGAGAGCTTTCACCACCGGCAAGCAAAAAACACGTCATGCCACTTTTTACAGTCAGATGAGAGTATATATTTTTATCTAAATGGTCTATGTACGACGGTCTTGGGTTAATTTCTTGATCTTGACTCTGTTTAAATTAATTTTTTCTCCCATAAGTACTAGTTTATACTGCCGTCATAAGCCAAACCCCCATAACTGACAAATTACAAATAGCAGAGGTTATTTGACCATTCTGATACTAACGCTTTTTTCTTCTTAAAAAGTAAACAAAATCCTGTATCCTGAAAAGTCAACTTGATTCTACACTGTAACTAACATTTGTAAAAACTGTATTTTTCAAAAAATAATCATGTTGTAGACTTTCAAAAAAGTTGCAAATGTGATACAATGTTGCAAACATCCAAATATATATTATTTCAAGTGTGCAGCACTAGCACTTATGCAATTTTTTGCTCAAAATTATAAACAAAAGCGCCATTTTGCTATAAATTAACCTTTCCGTTCCTTGGAAATGGTTGCAAATTTAAATTTAATGTTGTTTAAACTAGCCGACTATTCTTTTAAAGTTTGAAAACTTGTAATTAATGTGAAATTTTCAAAATAGGGTGTTAAAATTTAAATACCGCTAGCAAATTTTCCACTTAATTTACTGGCATAAATATTTATAAAATACTATATAAGTTTAACAAATTTTGTTTTTTATTTGGACTTAAGGACTATTGCAGTAGTTTTTCTTCCTGCATTATTGGTTTTCCAGATTATTTAACATTAATTAATGTAATCCATTAAATTACAGATTTTACTCAAGCTATTGACATCACACAAGAATCAGAAGACACCATACTAGTTACAGAAGAACCAAAAATTCCGAAAGAATCTTTAGAACCAGAAGTAACCATGAAAAATGAAACAAATGACACTGTAACAGAAGACAATATCACAGAATTAGTAAAAACACTCTCCATTGATGACATACAAATTGTAAAAGATATTATTGATAAACCCAACTTAGAAACTACTGAGCAGAGTATATGTGAAGACTTCAAATCTTCTTCAGAGCCTGTAGTGTTTCAAGAAGAAGAAAAAACTGAAAAACATGAGTTTTTGCAAGAAGCTGTTCTTGAAAAAGTACTAGTTAAGGGTAAAAATAAAGAAAATGTAAAGAATAAAAAAACCTCAAAAGTAGATAGTATTAGAAAAAAAGTGGAAGTTGTCAAAGAAGAATCAAGTAAGGTAGAAGAGAGTAATAAGAAGACTGAAGAAGATAAGCGTGATAATGTAAATATTTCAAATCAAGAAACGGTTGCTCGACCGCAAAATTTATCATTGAAGGAGAGTGAAACTGAAAGTCAGAGGGAAATTAATCTTATAGGTAAGTAGGATTTAAAAGTAATAAAACTCTGCAAACTTTTTAATTCATCTTTAGATTTGTAAAAAATAATTATTACTAAAAAGCTTTATATTATGTATTATAAGAACTTTATTTAAAATAGGTAACCCTATGTTTATGACGTATACAAAGTATAAGAGAATGGGGAAACCTGTTTTTCGTAATCTAGGGATTTGTAATAATCTCGGAAGGTGACTTTTTGACGATTATAATACTTCCCTCTTATCTTATCGAAGGCAGTAAAAGGATTTTTTTTATTTGTTATTGTTGCAAATTTGACTTCAAATTGTAAATTTTCAGAAAAGAGGCTTGGTAAACTATTTAGCTAGTTTCTGTTTACTAAAATCAATTGGATTTATGATAGTTTTTTTAAGATATACTTATTATAGATGGATTATGAATAAAATATGTACAACTTCTGTAGTAAGAACTTGAAAGGCAAATTTTTTGTTTTTTACAAAAATAACTTTTTTTTTGATTCGTACTTTGATGCTTTATTGTTAATAATTCCTCTAGTATCGTTCTTAATAATGGATTTATTATGTACATAGCAAAATTCCATATGGTACCTGTTGCAAAGATTAAAAAGTACAACATAAAAAATTTTATTACAAAAAATGTTTACTTGCGACGTAACTTAAAAAACACATTAATTAAAAAAGAAGCAATTATAATAATGCAACCACAAATTACAAGTAGAATTTATATTGGCTCCAGAATTTCTTTCTATTAAATTTTAACTTAAATATTTCCAATTTAATTAACATATATTTTTTATTTTTACATATTACATAAATGACTTGAGTTGTTGTCTTTTTGATACTATCCTGTGGTTGTTTTCTGTTACAAATCACTTTTTAGCAGTATATTTTTTTAAAAACTTTCTGTTACTCAATTTAGGAGGCCCTGGTTCAACTCCGTACAACAATGTGTATATAACTGAAGAGATAAGCAAACATCAAGAACAAGATAATGAGTCTATTTCCTCTACGTCTTCAAATACTTTCTCAGACACTGGTAGCACCGTCTCTACAGCCTCTACAGAGGAAATTCGTGATGACAACGACCTTACTATTACTAACCCTAGTCATGTTCAAGAGCAAACTGTAAGGCCTACAGAAAATTTGGAAAGGGGCAGTAGAGAACTATCTGATGATGGGGATAATGCTGGAAACACTGTTGAAGAAGATTCAGAAAGAAATGAGACTAGCGAAGGACAGGCTACCAGGTATATTTTTTTATCTGCCACCTACACAATTTTAACAGGCGATTAAGAAGTCAAATTAGTTTTTGTACTGATGTGGTATCATGTGTTTAATAATGGTTATTTTAAACACCTATTGAACCTATATTTCACTCTTAGACACATAATATAAGTCAAATTGTAAATTAAGTAAAATCTAGACGTGCTCTACAGTTTATGACAAAACATGTAAAACCAAATTAAATGTCCTGTGATAGATTGCGTTAGTTGAAATTACGATAAAAACTGAAAAAAGCTCCAAAATGTTGTGTTTTTTTGCAATCAAAAGTTTAGCACAGCTTCTTAGTAACTGTCGCAAACTCATGTCATACTTATTTGGTATGTCTAAAGTGGGTTATAAAAATGTCCAGCTTTGTACGAATTTTTTGGCTAATTTTCCTATCCTAAAAGTTGGGAATGGGGTGTTAATACACTGCGATCTAAAATATCTATGCTAATGCAGCAAGGTAATGACTCGATGCCTTTAAAGACCCTACTAATCCTATCTTCTCAAGGGAGTGTAGAATTTGGAGTGGCTTCAAGCTAGGCAAATCTCTTCTATTTGATATGCTCCTAGGTATAGTGCCCTTGGATTCTGGAGTGCTACACACATTCAGAATGTGAATAGAGGTTTCGTCGTCCTCCTCCTCCTCAGAATCTTCACTTACTATCTTCTACTACTTTCAGTTTACTAAGCTGTTACTGCTGATACCGCAGAACAGCTCAGGTCCCACAAAGTGTGTTTGAGCCCAATTCCTTGCGAGACTATCTACAATCTTGTTACCCTGTAAGCCGTTATGTCCCGGGACCCAATTGAGAGTAACTGTATTTACCTCGCCGAGCTCATTTAATTTTTGTAGATATCTGCAAACAATTTTGAGCTGATTACGTAAGTACTCAGTACTTTGATGGCTTCTTGGCTATCAGACATGATGATAATCTCTTGTCTACGATAGTTTCTCTCTATGTTAAACTGGATACACTTCTCGATGGCGTACATTTCCTAACAAACCTCTTTATAATATGCCCTATTGAAAATAAAAATTGATATGTTTCAGGAATTTTGAGACAAACCTTTATTTATTAAGTCACAAATTTGTTCCTGTTAAATTTTCCACTGTCAATTCCTGACGTAATTAACGGTTAACCGGTTCGACTGATTCTGACCGGTTTCTGTTTTAACCGGATTTTTACTATTATTTTAACCGGTCAGATTATCCAATTAACCGGTCAGATTATCCGGTTCACCGGTCTGATTGTCCGGTTAATCGGTCCTATCAAACCGAGCCAGTCGAATCGGACCGGTTAGACCGGATTCGGCCAGCACAGACAATAACGGGTATTTATTCGAGTTGTTTTTCCACCAAGTTAATGGATTTTGATCCTTTCGTAACAATATCTTAGAATTGTATTCCTCCACTGTCGAAAGATAATTATTAGGTCCAGAATCTTCTGGAAATAAAATGTTTATTTCCGATTTCTTGTTGGCTTCAGATTCAGAATTGGTTGTCATCTCATACATTTCCTCAGACATAGTTCTAATTTGTTTTTCCAACTCGTACTTGACTTTCAACCGAAAACCCATTTGAAGTCCGCAGTTGAAATGTTTTCAAACTTATTCGTCAAGGTATTCTTTATATGAAATCGTTTGTCAAATTCTTCTGAAACTGGGCTTGTCAGGTGGCTCCAAAGAGTACCAGAATATTTGAAAGAGTTTTCGCAAATGTTGCAAATTGCGTTTTGCTTTGAATCATCTTTAGTATATTAGTTCCATATTTCTGACATATTAAACAATAGCAAGTATTATTAATTTTAAATTTTAAATGTAACTTGAGTGTAGCACTGTCTGAGACTTTCTAATTCTAATAGAACTGACCTAAAAATATGGTCCAGGACCAGAAAGCTCTTCTACACCCTCTGGTATCGAGAGGCGTAACTAAGAGCTAGGGATGCGTTTGATACGTCATGTTTAAAAAACATTGATATTTGGCTTTCGATGCGACGTTCGATGTTTAAATTTTCGTCGGTTTTATTTTTTTGATAATATCGATCGACATTGATATTTTATCGATATTTTCCATTCTTCTGCATATTGTATCTTTATTTAAATCGGTCACAATTAAAAAACACATAAATTTTTATCGCACAAATGCGCCCTCTAATAGTCAATGAAAAAGTTTCGAAGCATATTTTGGATAACTGTGATGTAATTTTATTAAAAAATAATAATTTTCTTAGTTTTGCTTTGTTTTTATATTACATTTGGAATGTTTATATTTGTATTTTTTTATAAAATAAATACAGTCTTATTTTGTTTTACCTACTTTTAAATGTATAAGTTTTAAAAACATCGATGTTTATAAATATCGTTTTTTTTTACTTCGGTTATTTTAATGCCATCGATACTTTATTTTTGGTATATCATTCGAAGTCAGTATCGACGTTTTAAGAAATATGCGCATCCCTACTAAGAGCTCAAACTATACTTATTCGTTTACGTTCACGGTCTCGCTAAAACCGGTTGTGGGTACTGTTAAACCAGTTACGGCTCAACAAGTGACAGGTTTAACCGGTTTGATTAGAGTTACACCGGTTACGGTTAAACTGGTTACGTTCTTTAACGGTTTCGGGTCCTACGGAACCGGTTAATCGGTCACGGTTTCCAGCCTTAATATAAAGACTTATGTCCATAACGTAACTTTAACGCCGTCTGGTCCGAACTAGCACATCAAACTTCTGACTAGGAATATCGACAGTCACTGTCGTAGATGATCTAGAGGAAGGGGCACTTGTCTAGCAAACAAGAATATCTGAGTTCGGGGATGCTCTTAATAATTCGTAGGGAGATTTTTGAGATTTGTTTCAAATTATTCAGCAACTTATTTCTGATTTTTCGGATTTTGATTTGTGATCTATGATATATTAAATTTACAATTTTCTTAAATTTATATTTTAAAACATAAAAAAAACCTGGCTTTTCACGTGCACGCCTATAGCCTTGTCACCATACCATCGAGTAAATGTATGTGAAATATATATAAAAATTATTATTTCCTCAAATTAGACAGTTAAATCATTATAAACGAAGCCCAAACTATATTAGAAATTGCGCTTGTAACTGTAACATAATTATGATCTCAAACCAAATATTAAGGATAGTTCCATTTTGTCTTATGTAGAAATTCTGGTGATGGGGAAAATACATCAAGTGGGACCACTGAAAAACAATGGTTGGGAAAAGAGGCTCCTTTATGGATCCCTGACTCGGATACGACTAGTTGTTTACACTGTGATATGAAATTTACTGTATTGAAGAGACGTCATCATTGCAGAGCATGCGGTTTGGTAAGCAATATAAAACTATTAGCATCTACAATTATTTTTTTCATCAGTTAAATATTTCTGAAAAATTTAATAATATTTTATATTTTACATTAAAACTAATTTTGGCATCAGTTCAACTTTCAAAGTTTTGTTTAAAACTCATTTTTAAATTGATTCGTTATTGTTGAGCATTTCCTATGTAGGTATGTATAAGAACTTTCTTTTGTCATCTCAATAATACGCCATTTTTTGTAACCCTAGTCTTTCAGTCAATATCACATTAACCTTTGGTACATTACCGTATTGCCCATATTTTAACTAGGTACCCAGCCAGGATTATATACATTTTGTATATGGAAGCTGGCTTACCTAAAACAACACAAATTATTAATTAGTAAAAAAAAAATAGTTGAACCCAACTACCTATATATCCAAAATTATCTGGTAATGTCGGTATAAGTGTGAACTTGTTTTAAAATGCCTGCTCACGCTCATTCATATTTCTGATTTTATTTATTTTTGTTTTTACGTTTATCTACCCATCGTGACACTGCCAACAACCTCCATTATGTTTTTAAAGTTCTTACTGTTAGTAATACTTGTTGAGGTGAATCCCCAGTTAGAAACATTTTTGTTTTTCCCAACCATTATCAATGTTTTTTTTTTTAGGTTTTATGTTCTAAATGTTGCCACCTTCGATTCAAACTAGAATATTTAGATGCTGAAGCAAGAGTTTGTAACAAATGCCACGATATCCTAAACAAAGACACAAATAGCAGTTCTAGCTCTGATCTTTCTTCTCCGGACCCAGGAAATTCCCCTTTGAGGCGACCGAACCCTAACAACCCCTTAGAATATTGTTCTACAATTTCACCATTGCAACAGGTCAGCGGAACTTCCCCGGCTCCCCTTCCTGCTGTTATGGTACCTGTTGGAGTGCTCAAAAGAAAAGGTACAGTGTATGAATAAATATTAAGTAGTGTTAACTACTGTGAGGCTTGATCAGATATAAATGATAAATAAGTCGCCATTGAATACAAGTATATCAGCTAGATCGGTACAAAGGCATTACCTTAAATATTTAAGTTTTCGAGCATACCAAGTTTATTCACCAAATGGTATTACTCAAAATTCTTTACTGGCTAAATACAGATTCACGATTCTCGACGTAAGACGGAAATATTTCTCCATAATTACCCTCTGTATTTGTAACGTGTGGAGGATGGGTTAACCCACGGCACTTAGACCTCACTAGACCCATTGTGCATCCTCCTAAGTAGATAGGCAGTTCCTAGATCTTGAGCCAGCTTACAGATTGAATGTAGTTAACAACGTCGCCCAGAGTTGCTTCTCTTATATCGGCCGGTGTTAGCCAATTCCCGCCGAATACAAATCTAATAAATGAGAGCGTCAGGCAATCGTAGAGGATATGCTCGATGGTCTCATCTTCTTGTTCGGACCCCCTGCAGAGTTCGGATTCTGACAGCTCCATGAAAACCTGATAGGTTAACGGCGCAGAATCAGTGTATTTTTCATATAAGAAGCAAGGGTTCACCATTTCCGATTGCATTTAAATCCCGCTAAATGTATTAAAATGAATCTTCTACCAGCTTAAAGTATAAGGTTTGGAGAATGAAATCTCCTATTTTTTATTTGTCCTGTTTATACACTAAATTTTAAAAAAATCATAAAAAGTGATTTTAAAAACTAGAGCTAAAAAGTAGGAGATTTCATTCTACATATTTTTCCAAGTATCCCGCCAAAATATTTCTAAATTTTATTGGGTATTTTTCAAATCTAACTGGAAATACGATTAACAAATATTTGATAAATTTATTTGTCAAATTAGAGATTTTTCTATGAATTCCTGTAATGTGTAGTTCATCTATTTTTAAGAAGATGTCATCATAAAAAACAATGTAGCTACTCGGTTTTAGAGATGGTGAATAGTCGAATGATTGTTTAGAGGTACCAATTTTTGAAACGGTGATACAGCTGTATGCCGCCTTTTATTGTTTCGTGATTTTCATATATATTTGTCTCGCTTTGCGTTCCAGATACAAAATTATCGATTTATGTTCCTTGCGTATGAACAAGTATTGGCGTGGCCAGATGTACAATAATTATCGATTTATACGATAATTTCACAATTCTTTCTCAGACGAATTTAATTTTAAAGTGGGTGAAATGCGGGAAAGGAACTTTATTGCATTCCGATGTAATTTGAATCCGAATGACCTGGCATCACTGTATGGTACGCACGTAATATTTGCGGGACTTGCTTTCTTCTTATGAATGTTATTTTATCTTTATAACGAACTGTATTTCTGAGTTAACACGTTGACTGCTATGTGTATATATACCCTTGTGTATGTCCCATTAGTGCGTAATTGTTCAATATTTTAAATTGTGTTAAAGACACGCAAACATGTTTCAAAGAAAAGTTATATGGATTTGGAAAATACATATTTTAAAAATATTTTTGGATATGCAGGGTGTTACATTTTTGCCTGGCATATTTTTTAAATAGAACAACATGTATTTTATTTCAGTTTTAGAATGATTTGGTAATACTGTATTCAAGCCCAGAATATTTTAAAAAAATATTACAGGTTTGCCAAGCAATTAAATTTTTATGAAATTAGAGAATGATGCAGACCCCAAATTAAATTATCATAATTTGGGTAGGATTACATTAATTTCAAAATTGTTTAATATACAGACTTGTAGCACATTAAGATAACAAATAGTGTTGATAGTGCTGGATTCTTTTATACCGAGTGTTTTGAAACATGTCTTATGTATGGCTACTTTGAGGTTCAATTTACTTAATTTTTTCAAAGGCAACATATTTTAGCATACAATTCCTTATAAATTTGCCTGTCCAACAATAGCAACATTTTAGAGAATAACACCTATACAGAGTGTCCCATCAGTGTGTAATTGATCGATAGCTGTTATATTATTGAAAATAAGAAGAAGAAAAAATAATATAAAAGTTGTATGCACATACTTTGATTACTATACAGTGCAAGAAAGAGGTCCGACACGACCAACATAGGGCGCGGCCACTTTGATTCCTATGCCACAGTTTATAGCTAAAGAATCAGATCGCTCACTCTGCGTCGGCACTTTTGATTCTCAATGTTCCAGTTTATACACTGCGCAACTCGGATAATACAATATATGACAACCGCAGTCTTCTGCGTATCCTGAATTTGTATCCCTGGAGTGGATGTTATTTTGGAACTTTCAACTGGTCCGAGTGAGCTAACTGATTCTTTAGCAATAAACTGTGACTCCAAAAATAATATTCACTGACACTGACAGCAGCAAGCAAAATATCAGGTGCGTTTTAATCATCCGCTTCTGCTTCCGGAATTGTCGGTTTAGTCGTTTTAACCTGTCAGATTAAAATAAAACCGACAATTCCGAAGCAGAAGTGGATGATTAAAACGCACCTATTAAAAATATTGCGCCAAGATGTAGGCAACACGTAATAAGGGATCAAAATGGCGGAGTTTTTTATCTCCTTTTAAAAGGCACTAAGAAAGCTGCGCAGTGCGACCATTCTACGTATAGTAAAAGAAAATCAAAGTATGTGGTTGTATGACTATATATAAAAATTATTCTTAAATATCCAGGGTGGTCCATAAACGAGGTGTTGCCAAACATATTCCTTTTTTAAAGCAAAACACCCTGCAGGTAGTTATACATATTTGATTTTTTTCAGGTCGTCAAATAATTTTAATTGACTTCATTCATTTGCTATGTTATATGTGGGGTGTATCAAAACGCGAGGTTACGATTTTTTTAAATTTTTTTAATGTAATTCACTGTATTAATTAATTTAAAAAATTGAGAAAATCGTAACCTCACATTTTGACACATTCTATATACAACATAGCAAATGAATCAAATTGAAAATATTGTTCGACGATGTAAAAACAATCAAATATGTACAACTAACTGCAGGGTAATTTGCTTTAAAAATGCACACTGTATATTTATGAATAATTGTTAAATAGGTCATACAACTTTTATATTAATTTTTTTTGTATTTCCTATTATAAAACTCATGGGAAACCCTGTATATGTGTTATTGACTAACATATTGGTATCGTTGGATATGTAAATTTATAAGGAATTGTATGCTTAAATAACATACAGCGTGTGGCATTTAAAAAAATTAAATAAATTTAACTTGGAATTAGCCATATTTAAGACTTGTTTTTCAAAACAATCTGTATAAAATAATCCAGTTCTATCACAAGGTTTGTCAAAAAATATGATTTTGCTCAAGATAAAATACCTTTATTTTCGACAAACCCTATATACGACTGATAAAATTTGATATCAGATGTTTGAATTTTAGGTTTTAGACCATGCATAACTTTTTATGTAAAGTAACTTTTTTTATAAAATTAATAGACCATTCAATTGTTTATGAAAAATAAGATTTTTTTCTTAAAATTCTTAAAAAAGTTTTCCGTATGCCGCCAACTTACACAAACACACTGTACTACATATAAATGAGATTAAATTTGTTGAAAATAATTTTTACTGATGCAGATCTAAATAAAGTATTGTGGGTAAATACGGTAATAAAAACACTTTTTTATCACATTTTTCTTTTTTTTTATTTGGTTCATTGGCTGCAAGACCTTTCGGTATATACAGGGTATTCCATTAAGAATGGAGCAACTGAAGATTAACTGATCAGAAATAAGCCGATTAAACGAAACATCCGTAGGTAAAACATTACTCGAAAATCAAAAATTATAAATAGCTACAATTTTTTTTGTTATTCAGTTTAATTTTCTAAATTCGGCAAACGTTTATTATTGGTGTAATAAAATACACCTATCAGCAAAAAAATAAGTTAAATAAGCTTTGCCATAGTGGCATACTTCATGGGCAAGTAACACCTTTTTCCCTTCTAAATTTTAGTCCACTGTCCAAACACTTTTGATGTTTTTCAAATTTGGAAATTCTGAAATTTTTAAATTTTGATTTTTTTTTATTAAATTTCTAAAAAGAGTACATTATTTATTTAAAAAACATCAGAAACTTTAAAATTTTATGTCTAAATAACTTTTTGGATAGTGACGTAAAATTTAGGAGGGATGCGGTATTACGTACCAATGCTGTACGTCTCTGGAAAAGTTAATTAAAGTAGGTAACTAATTTTTTTGCTGATAGGTGGATATTATAACACCAAAAACGTTTGCCAAATATAGTAAAATTGTTGTGAGTAATAAAAAAAATATAGCCATGAATATTTTTTGGATTTTAACACCGTAATTCGGAAACGAGAAACATTTTATCTAAACATGATTTGTTTAGTTGTCTTATTTTATTCAGAGAATCGTCAGTTGTTCTATCTCCCATTCTTAACGAAACACCATGTATGGTATAATAGGTCCCTACATAATAATACGAAGACCTTTATCCTTTGTTGACTGGACACAAGAATGAACTACTAAGTAAATATACCGATATTCCGAATGTAATCCAAAATATTATTTTTATACCTGCTACATCGAAAATATTTGTCAAGGTCAAGAACTCGTTTATTTATCATCGCGTAGTGGCTAGGGGTGATGAATTTGTTACTTTATAACAATTACCGTTTAAAATTAATAAAATTATTACGCCATCTGTTGAACAAAAGAACTATTAAATATGGAATATTGCTCCATCTGTTGAACAAAAGGATTCTTAATTTATGACACATAAATGACATCTCCAAAAAAAGGTAAATCAAACGAGGGTGGTCCTTAGGATCTCATAAGAGTGAGATCCTAAGGACCACCCTCGTTTGATTTACCTTTTTTGAACTTATAACTCACACATGGCTACCACCTTCAACTTTAATAAATGACATTATCAAAATTAGTTCATGTTACGAATATTGGGGGTGGTACTGTGGCCTTAAGAGCTAGAGTAGCTTGAAGCTAATCTTCGCCTATCTGGTGCAAATGTTGTACATTTGTTCAATAAAGACATTTTTATTTATTTATTTATTTATTTATTTATTTATTTATTTATTTATTTATTTATTTATTTATTTATTTATTTATTTATTTATTTATTTATTTATTTATTTATTTATTTATTTATTTATTTATTTATTTATTTATTTATTTATTTATTTATTTATTTATTTATTTATTTATTTATTTATTTATTTATTTATTTATTTATTTATTTATTTATTTATTTATTTATTTATTTATTTATTTATTTATTTATTTATTTATTTATTTATTTATTTATTTATTTATTTATTTATTTGGAGATGCTTCCGTAGTTGGAAATGTCCAGTCAGAATGCCTGTGATCAGGCGCAGATTCTATCAAGTCATAGTTAAGTATTTGTTTCTGTAGTGTTGTCAGGAAAACTTAAAAGCTCCCTGACAAGTCTGCAGCTTCTTTCTTTCCTTGAATTTTAAAAGGGAATGTTATTTAATTAGGTTTGTCACTACTGATGCTGTCAGTCCAATAGAAGGGTCAGCGACGCAACATGGGTTTAGGAAAGGCCACTCAACAGAAACTGTACTTATAGAACATACACAGAACATTTATAACTTACTGAATGATAATTATTATGTAGTTACTATTTTTTTCGACTTGTCAAAGGCGTTTGACATGCTCGATAAAAAATTTACTTTAGACAAATGCTTTGAGAATAGAGGTGTAATTAATCAGTGGTTTACATCTTAGGGTCCGATTACAATTAGAACACCGCTACGTCATAACCATTACTTCGAATTTCGAATACATATTATCTATGACCATCAATAAATAAAAAATAAGTAAGTTGTTAGGTATAAAACAATATTTGCTGTATTCCTATAATATTTGCCAAATGATGACGTAGCTGTGTTCTTCTAATTGTAATCGGACCCTACCTATCAAATAGAGAAATTCGAGTAAAGGTCGATGATAACAAATCAGATATCTTTTACATAGACCAAGTGGTGTCATAAAAACAATTTAATACTAAATTATGATAAAAACATATATATGAAATCTCATACTCCATATAAACCAGAATCTACTTTCACTTTTGAAATAAACAATAGTACCATAAGTCCAGCTAACATTACAAAATTCCTAGGAGTCAATATAGACAGCAATCTAAATTTCTCTTCACATATTGATTACATCTGTTAAAAAATAAGCAAAACATTCTTTGCACTCAAGACAATAAAAAGTAGCCCAGAATCTGATAATGTACTGTTTATTACTCAATGGCCTTTTCAGCCATCTCATTCAATATACTAATTTGGGGACAGGCGATTGACATTGATTAGGTATTTATATTGCAAAAACGCCTTAGACTAAATATATAATCTTAACTGGAGAGAGAGAGACTTGCCCTAGTACATTTAAAGAAAAGTCTAGTAACTTCCATATATATTTTAAAACTACTTACTTATATACATGAAAACAAAGAAAAATTCAAAAAATATTCACACAATCACACCTATGACATAAGAAACAAACATCTTTGACTAAAAAAGGTTAATCATACATTTTATAAAAAATTCCCAGAGTATGCAGGATGCTTACTATACTATAACCTGTTACCTACAGAATTTAAAGCCGGCTACGGACGATGAGCGATAATATAATATATATTATAGCTCACATATTATAAAAATATCGCTTTGCTTTAAAAAGTGCAAGTCGCCGCGCATTGATACTATAATATATATCTATATCCCGGCGATGCCGGACGATATATTAAGTTGGACGAAATATGTTTTCCGAGCGATTTTTAGGATATACCTTTCCTCCCTCTTGTGTCGCGCTGCCCCCCAAGAGAGCAAACCGGCGTTGTTTACATGTTTGTTTTGAACGTAATTTGATAAATAGATTTGGTAGGTTTGTAAAATTAGTTGCTATTTGTACACAGATTTGTAATTTTTGTTTTAATATATTTTTTTTTCTAAACTCTTTAGTTTTTTAGTAAAAGTAACTTTCCTATAACCAAGTCTATTCTATCTAATTAACTGCCAGTCGCTCTGAGAAACTAGCTTTTCCGCGTATTTGTGTTTTGTTTTTCTATATAATTTTTTATTAAATTATGAAATTCATAAAATTTATTTCAGTCCATTCGAAAATAATTTGCAAATTTTTCGTCATTAAATTCGTTAAAAAGTGTAAATTCTCCTCATTCTTTTCGGTATTTGATATGATTAGATAACCAGAATCTTGTGTTTCTTTTTGGTTACTAACCCTAATTACTAATAATAATACATTGTCGCAGCATCTGATTCATCTTCTTATGAGCTATCAATGGTATCCAGGAATAACAAATTTTTCTCCATCGCATTTTTGTAACTACACTATATAGTTCACTGGGTCAGCCTACTATATTGAAAAATAAAAAAATATATATTCTCGTCCATGCAGCAATAATATATATTATATTATCGCTTATCGTCCGTAGCCGGCTTTGACTATAAAAACAAATAAAATATATGTGTTTTTTGTATATGTAATTGTGAACGTGTAATTGTAACGTCTCCACTAGACTGTACTCAATTTTAAAATAGATTTTAATTGTAATATTTTTTATATTTAAACTCTGACGAAACTTTTTTTGTAAAATCAAAATTTTAGCGAATAAAGATATATTTATTATATTATATTATATTATATTATATTATATTATATTATATTATATTATATTATATTATATTATATTATATTATATTATATTATATTATATTATATTATATTATATTATATTATATTATATTATATTATATTATATTATATTATATTATATTATATTATATTATATTATATTATATTATATTATATTATATTATATTATATTATATTATATTATATTATATTATATTATATTATATTATATTATATTATATTATATTATATTATATTATATTATATTATATTATATTATATTATATTATATTATATTATATTATATTATATTATATTATATTATATTATATTATATTATATTATATTATATTATATTATATTATATTATATTATATTATATTATATTATATTATATTATATTATATTATATTATATTATATTATATTATATTATATTATATTATATTATATTATATTATATTATATTATATTATATTATATTATATTATATTATATTATATTATATTATATTATATTATATTATATTATATTATATTATATTATATTATATTATATTATATTATATTATATTATATTATATTATATTATATTATATTATATTATATTATATTATATTATATTATATTATATTATATTATATTATATTATATTATATTATATTATATTATATTATATTATATTATATTATATTATATTATATTATATTATATTATATTATATTATATTATATTATATTATATTATATTATATTATATTATATTATATTATAATATATTATATTATATTATATTATATTATATTATATTATATTATATTATATTATATTACATTATATTATACTTATTCTTCTTTTTTTTGTCTGATAGGTAGCAACAAATCAAAATCGAATAAAAGCGTAATGTTTTGCGATGGAATCCGACCTGGAAGCGATCTAACCAATTTAGACAACGATTTTAATTACAACAATACAAAGACTAAGAAGTTGGAAAAAACAAGTACAACAGCATCAGCTGGAAAAATAAATAGAAATTTGCCACTGATCGACTCAGAAACCAACTCTTTTATACCGAAAAACGAAAATAATTTACCTCCTTTAGTAACTATAACAAAAACTGGTAAGTAACAAAAAAGGTTTTTAGCACATCTTGGTTTTTTCCTGACATCCGATTTTGTTTATTATTGCAGAATTTTACAATTAACTTATATTTATTTTTGTTTGTTATACGTAAATTGCATTGACACCCTATATACCTGTGTCTCATGAAATGTGTCAAATATATATTCCAATTTTTTTTATTTCTTTTATCTTCTCATTATTGAATTTAAAGTATCGACCACGGTAGGTTTCCCGCTCATCTATTTAAAATGTGTGTCCTAATATCTCCTTTCTGTTTTTGCTACATTCATTCAATATTTGCATACAATTTATTAATAATGTAATGACTAAATCACTAGGTCTAGGTATTTTTGTTTTTCAACTAATATTACGTTATTAAACTTGAGGAGCAAATTATTCCTTCTACACCTCTAAAAATTCTCCAATTTGCGCTTGCGTCAATCCGGCATATCTTTCTTTGGCAGGATCCAACAATTTTTCCTGTAAATGGCAGCCAATAACAATACGTGTCAGTCTTTCTAAATGGCAGCCAATAACAATACGTGTCAGTCTTTCTCCAGCTGATACGCTAAAGTCTCGTGATCCTTTGAAAATTCGATTTAGTGATGATTAAGTTTCTTGGAAGTTATAGAATTCTAATTCTTCAGCGACGTTGTCTGTGATCACGTTGGCGACGGCAAAAGGAACGTTTTTGAACTCTTCCAAACCCTAAATTATATAAAGGGCCATTATCTAGTATAATTCTTTTTTTCTACTGTTTCAACTTACCTTTATATTCATTCTTATCATAACTTAGATCTTTAATTTTATCTTTCATTTTTTGTCGAGTTATTTTCATCAGTTAAGGTACCAAGTGTTAGTATCCGTTCCTCGCAGTGTTCAATGATGGTGCTCATTAAGGGTTGGAGATTCAACACAATATTTTAGTTTTTAATTTTCGGAAAAATATGTTTTTAAATCACTTAATAAAAGTTATGTGCCCAAAAATATTAAAAAAAAAAGAACAAAAATAATAGTGGTTTTAGACATCTGTAAATACTGGTAGGCAATCTCCTAATATATATTTTTTACTGGAGATGCGGTAACTGTAGCATTTTAAGTTGATAATCTGAAACTGACAAAATATGTGATGATGATAGATAAACTTGAAAAAAAAGTAATAAAGTGAATACAAAGAGAGCCAGTCATTGAGTATTTTAAGCCATTTGATGTGTTCTGTAAAACTGCGAATTTTTTCAAAATATTTGAAATAATATGTTTATTTTCAAATGTACTAAATCTGTATATATTCGTTATACCTACTAATATTGGTAATGTTGGTATATAATAATAATAATAATAATAATAATAATAATAATAATAATAATAATAATAATAATAATAATAATAATAATAATAATAATAATAATAATAATAATAATAATAATAATAATAATAATAATAATAATAATAATAATAATAATAATAATAATAATAATAATAATAATAATAATAATAATAATAATAATAATAATAATAATAATAATAATAATAATAATAATAATAATAATAATAATAATAATAATAATAATAATAATAATAATAATAATAATAATAATAATAATAATAATAATAATAATAATAATAATAATAATAATAATAATAATAATAATAATAATAATAATAATAATAATAATAATAATAATAATAATAATAATAATAATAATAATAATAATAATAATAATAATAATAATAATAATAATAATAATAATAATAATAATAATAATAATAATAATAATAATAATAATAATAATAATAATAATAATAATAATAATAATAATAATAATAATAATAATAATAATAATAATAATAATAATAATAATAATAATAATAATAATAATAATAATAATAATAATAATAATAATAATAATAATAATAATAATAATAATAATAATAATAATAATAATAATAATAATAATAATAATAATAATAATAATAATAATAATAATAATAATAATAATAATAATAATAATAATAATAATAATAATAATAATAATAATAATAATAATAATAATAATAATAATAATAATAATAATAATAATAATAATAATAATAATAATAATAATAATAATAATAATAATAATAATAATAATAATAATAATAATAATAATAATAATAATAATAATAATAATAATAATAATAATAATAATAATAATAATAATAATAATAATAATAATAATAATAATAATAATAATAATAATAATAATAATAATAATAATAATAATAATAATAATAATAATAATAATAATAATAATAATAATAATAATAATAATAATAATAATAATAATAATAATAATAATAATAATAATAATAATAATAATAATAATAATAATAATAATAATAATAATAATAATAATAATAATAATAATAATAATAATAATAATAATAATAATAATAATAATAATAATAATAATAATAATAATAATAATAATAATAATAATAATAATAATAATAATAATAATAATAATAATAATAATAATAATAATAATAATAATAATAATAATAATAATAATAATAATAATAATAATAATAATAATAATAATAATAATAATAATAATAATAATAATAATAATAATAATAATAATAATAATAATAATAATAATAATAATAATAATAATAATAATAATAATAATAATAATAATAATAATAATAATAATAATAATAATAATAATAATAATAATAATAATAATAATAATAATAATAATAATAATAATAATAATAATAATAATAATAATAATAATAATAATAATAATAATAATAATAATAATAATAATAATAATAATAATAATAATAATAATAATAATAATAATAATAATAATAATAATAATAATAATAATAATAATAATAATAATAATAATAATAATAATAATAATAATAATAATAATAATAATAATAATAATAATAATAATAATAATAATAATAATAATAATAATAATAATAATAATAATAATAATAATAATAATAATAATAATAATAATAATAATAATAATAATAATAATAATAATAATAATAATAATAATAATAATAATAATAATAATAATAATAATAATAATAATAATAATAATAATAATAATAATAATAATAATAATAATAATAATAATAATAATAATAATAATAATAATAATAATAATAATAATAATAATAATAATAATAATAATAATAATAATAATAATAATAATAATAATAATAATAATAATAATAATAATAATAATAATAATAATAATAATAATAATAATAATAATAATAATAATAATAATAATAATAATAATAATAATAATAATAATAATAATAATAATAATAATAATAATAATAATAATAATAATAATAATAATAATAATAATAATAATAATAATAATAATAATAATAATAATAATAATAATAATAATAATAATAATAATAATAATAATAATAATAATAATAATAATAATAATAATAATAATAATAATAATAATAATAATAATAATAATAATAATAATAATAATAATAATAATAATAATAATAATAATAATAATAATAATAATAATAATAATAATAATAATAATAATAATAATAATAATAATAATAATAATAATAATAATAATAATAATAATAATAATAATAATAATAATAATAATAATAATAATAATAATAATAATAATAATAATAATAATAATAATAATAATAATAATAATAATAATAATAATAATAATAATAATAATAATAATAATAATAATAATAATAATAATAATAATAATAATAATAATAATAATAATAATAATAATAATAATAATAATAATAATAATAATAATAATAATAATAATAATAATAATAATAATAATAATAATAATAATAATAATAATAATAATAATAATAATAATAATAATAATAATAATAATAATAATAATAATAATAATAATAATAATAATAATAATAATAATAATAATAATAATAATAATAATAATAATAATAATAATAATAATAATAATAATAATAATAATAATAATAATAATAATAATAATAATAATAATAATAATAATAATAATAATAATAATAATAATAATAATAATAATAATAATAATAATAATAATAATAATAATAATAATAATAATAATAATAATAATAATAATAATAATAATAATAATAATAATAATAATAATAATAATAATAATAATAATAATAATAATAATAATAATAATAATAATAATAATAATAATAATAATAATAATAATAATAATAATAATAATAATAATAATAATAATAATAATAATAATAATAATAATAATAATAATAATAATAATAATAATAATAATAATAATAATAATAATAATAATAATAATAATAATAATAATAATAATAATAATAATAATAATAATAATAATAATAATAATAATAATAATAATAATAATAATAATAATAATAATAATAATAATAATAATAATAATAATAATAATAATAATAATAATAATAATAATAATAATAATAATAATAATAATAATAATAATAATAATAATAATAATAATAATAATACTCTCCCTAATTCACCCCCTTACGAGTGAATTTTAACCCCAAAAGCTGAGCTTGTCCGGGGAAAGGGACGGCTATTATTATTATTTGCCGTGGCGCTCCGGGGCGACTTAAAGATGATTGATGGTGCCATTTGACTTACAGGTGAGGAAAACCCGGAAAACCTCACCCACCATCATCGAGACGGTAATGTATGGCGAATTTTTTTTTTTTTTAATCTGCATGTCATATCAACAGAAATTGAATTTCTATTAATACGCCACACATCAAATCCTAAACCGAACCATGCAATTTAATTAAAAATCCACATGGTCTGGTCTGGGATTCGAAACCCAGCAGTCTCAGACTCATAAACTTGCCTATAAATGAATATAAGCGCGATAGACCGCTACACCACCGTGCCCGATTACCAAAATAATGATGTAAAGAACTATAATGCTGAGTATGTATTACATTTGAGGTCTTAAGTCGCATAGAACAAGAAGAATAATTAATTGGCATTCAATAAATCACATGGAGAAGTATACATATTGACTACGCCTGCATCCATACATGATGTGACAGCCCTCAGAACATTTTCAGTTCATTTAATTTATGACTTATATGTTATCATAAAAAGATTTTACTATATGATTTATATTGTAATTATCTAACATAATCATTCATTATTAAAAATAGCTTTTACCTACCTGTATACTGTCAACATTCTTTAATGGGTCGTATTCCTTCACGTTCTTAATTATTTACAGCCAAAACATGAATATCGAATACAGTGATATTGGTGGTTCTTTGAATCAATTTTTCAATGAAAATGAAATTTTTTCTACAGACCACAAATTTTTATAAATCTTCCATTTTTAAATTTGTTTATGTACTGCTAGGATAACCTTAAAACAAATAAGTAACGCACAGTGCGAGCATTTGATCGTTCTGGAAACAGGATGGGTGTGAAAGAGAAAATCAAAATGACCTCAGTATCTACAGTAACAGTTTCAATATTATTATTGAATTGTACGGGTTTTTCTTCACCTCTTGAGAAAATACACTTACGATTGGCGTCCACACGATCGATTACTAGGGGACTATCTTATTGTAAGTGGTTTAATCCACTTTATCTTGAGACTGCGTCAAGAGTACTCGGGAAGCTTCAGATGGAGATAAAAAAATTCCGGAATATCTGAACTAAAGGTACAAACAACGGGCTTTAACCGTTGTTTGTGCCAAAAAAAGGGAATTTTACAGAGGCTGAAGAAAATTAAACGACAAGGACGGACACGGTTTAATAACCGCAATACTTGCGAAAGCTAAAAGTAGTTCTCACCTATCTTAACCCTCACCCATCTCGAAATAATGAAATCCTGAACATAAATGATTTCCTTTTAACTTCTCATTTCTAAATTTAAAGTATCCAGGCGATTACTAGAAATAGGTTTCCCACTCATCTATTTCAAATGTGTGTCCTAATATCCCCATTCGATATTTGTATACAATTTATTAATAATGTAATCTAGTAGTTTAAGTATTTTTGTTTTTCATCTAATATTACGCTATTAAACACAAGGAACAAATTGATTAAATTTATTAAAGATTATAAAATTAATATATAAACCAACGGTAATTCTTAATAAAAATGGAATATTTTACTTATGAAGTAATGAAAATGTTTTAAAACCTCTTTGCAAACCATTAGTGCATTTTACTACATGAAATACGTTATAATCTTTGATGAATAAACTATGTAAGTGTCAATTTATGAGTTCATAAGTTGCGGTTAGCAGCACTCTTATCGTAAATACAGTAGCGAACCTAGCGAATTTTACTCGTAATCCTGATTAATTTTAGCCCGTGAGAAATAGATGTGCATTGGCAAAAATAGGCATCGGACGGAATAGCTCACTTCTTTAACGAATATTTCCATCCCTCTCTAGTTATTTTCTTTTCTTCTTGTACGCATCTTGCGGAACACTTCTCGCTGTGATTGAAATTGCGTTTTTTTTTTTTTTTTCAGATATTTCGTACACTGATTGTCAAAATAACCCCACCACAGTGGAATTACTAAAAAACAATCAACTCACATTCGCAATTTTGTTAAGCTTGTATGTACATGTTAAAATAATTAATATGAATTGCTGCATTAACAAAATGGCGTTTTGTTTTTCTACAGACGGTTTAATAAATGTTGGACAAGATGAAATCGTTATAATTTTGGAATACATCGATGAGGAGTCATTTGTTCCTAAAGATGTGTTTTATCATATCAATAATATATATGTTGATGCAGTTAAAGGTAATTCTATCTATACTGTGCGTACCATATGTATAGAATAAATTCATTTTTAACGTTATTATACAGGGTGTTTTAAAAAAAAATGGTCATAAATTATACCTCATATTCTTGGGTCAAAAATAGTTCGAGTAAAACGTACTTACCTATATACAAAAGTGCACCTAAAAATAGTATAAGATACAAATTTAAATGAATTTTTTTAACGTTGCTCTTAAACCGTTTGGCATTTCATGAAATTTTATATGACGTGTTAGAATACCATGTCTAATAATACCGAGGAAGAGGCAATATTTTTTTCTTGATTTTTATAGGTTTTTGGGGAGGGTCACCGCTCTTTTCTAAACTCAATTTTTTGTAGTATAAAATTTAATTACAAATGAAACGCCACTGGAATGCAACATCCATTTAGAAACTTTTTTGTCTCTTAGTATTTGTTTGTAAAAAGTTTAGTTTAGACGATACAGCCATTTGAAATGACAACTTAAAAATATTCAATGAATATGTATGAAAAATATCAAAATCAAGTTTATTTTTAAATTACAAACTAATGTCATCAAAATAAAAAAAATGAATTTAACATGTGTTCAAAATTACATTCTCCTCCTGTATACACTTACTACATAGTTTTAACAATGAAAATCGAATTTTGATATTTTTGCATACGTATAATTTAATTGAATATTTTTAATATGTCATTTTAAGTGGCTGTATCGTCTAAACCAAACATTTTACAAACAAATACTAAGAGACAAAAAAGTTTCCAAATAGATGTTGCATTTCAGTAGCGTTCGATTTTTAATAAAATTTTATATTACAAAAGAGTAGAGAAAGGGGTGGTGACACCCTCCAAAATCCTACAAAAATAAAAAAAAAATATGTTGCCTCTACCTCGATTTTGTTAGTCATGGTATTCTAACACGTCATATAAAATTTCATGAAAAAAATGTCAAACGGTTTAAGAGCAAAGTTAAAAAATTTCATTGAAATTTTTATTTTATATTCTCTGTAACTATTTTTATATATACAGGGTGTCCCTAAAGAGAGAATTAAAATTCTTTTCAAACAAGGTGACACTCGACACGCCTCTGTTATTTAAAATTTTCGAGGGTGCTTATAATTCAGGGGGGGTAATATTTTCATACTATAAATTACCAAATTAAGAATAGACATCGAACTGTTTCAGGTTTTTTCCCAAAAATACATAGTAATACAAAAAATAAATTAATGTATTCCATACATATGGACCACGCTGTATATATTTGTAAATTATTTCCAGGATTTTTTTTAGATTTTAACCTTATACAATTATTTAGCTTTTTAACCACATTATAAAATTATTCATACATTTTCATTTTAAATTATTTGTTTTGGTAAAATTGATTACAAGATGGTTCCAAGTTAATTTGTGTTGAAAATTAATATTTTTATTTGTTCTTAATTTTTAAAACAAAAATTTGATAATTTTTTTTCGAAAACTTTACTGAATAGCAGTGCTGGGGTTTGAAATTGAAACACATAGTAGTCGATCCCAGGATTTGAATCGTTTTTAGAGACTCGAGTGCGGTATTTGTTATAGCTTGATTCATTAGTATGTAGTACCATCCATTTCATTTAATGATATAAAGATCTATTAGGAAAACTTGTCATATCATTTCTTTTCTACGATGTGTTGTCAAATGATTATTTCACTTATCCATCAGACTCGTGAAATAATTTTTAACATGTTTTGTGCGTTAGACTAATAATTGTCATTATCAATAGTCTAGTTAATACCCTTTTAATTATATATGTTTATATTTTTAGGAACGTCAATAAAAGAATTAGGACTTTCATTACACAATTCTTCCAATTTTTTGGATTCCAAAAACCACGCCGGTTTTGTTTACATCCGTCCAACTTTTCAATGTTTGGAGAATGTAATTAAACCAAAAGAACCTTTTCTGGTAGGAATTCTGATACATAGGTGGGAGACACCTTGGGCCAAATTGTTCCCATTAAGACTGATTTTGAGACTAGGTGCTGAATATAGGTAATTCATTTTACATTCCTCAAAAAATCTACATACTAAAAATCACAATACTCTAAATTAATATTACCAATTCTTATTTTAACGTCAACTGTTTACATTTTTACTTAAGTTTTGCAAACATTTTTCAATTAATTTTTATTTTTGTAGGTATTATCCTAGTCCTGTGATATCGACTAGGCACAGAGACAGTGTTTTTGTAGAAATTGGACATACAATAATAAACTTATTGGCAGATTTTAGAAATTTTTCTTATACACTTCCTCAAATAAATGGTTTGACTATTCATATGGAGGACAAAAATACAACGGTTACCATACCAATTAATAGATATGACCAGGTATGTAATTAATTATAACAACACAACGGAATATTTTTAATTCTATTTATGCAAAAACAATAAAGGGCTTTTAGTTTTTTTAGGAAAATCTCCATTAATTAGACAAATAGAAACAAATTGCTATTATAATACTAGTATTGTTTATTTTTCGTGCTCATAAGCAGCCAATAGAAACATCCACGTTACTAACAACTATAAAAAATATAGTATTTACTTATTTGGTGATTATGATTTACAACTCGACTCTTGGAGTAAACAGAAGTAGTCTATGAGTCCTTTTCTTAATCTTAAACAAGCTAATCTAATCCTAATAATCACAATACAGTTTTAGATCTTGTTTTTGTTGATAATCTTGACATAATTACTATTTATGATTGTTTTGACTTATTATTTGAATATAATTTTCATCATAGCCCTTGGTCCTATTAATTGGAAACATATTTTATATGGTAATGCAGATAGCTGTGAACAGCTTTTATAATATTATTAATAATTCCATCAATTTGTTTGTACCTTTACGTAGTTGTAAATATTCCACCTATCCAAGATGGTTTTCCAATGAACTTAAACAACTGATTTTATATAAGAAAAATGCACATATCAAATATGAGTCATCGAAGTCACAGGTGGACTAGTTACATTTTTCCGATTTACGTGCTTGTTGCAAAATATAATCTAAGCAATGTTACAACAATCACATGGTCAATATCAATCAACGGGTCAGTTCTAGTTCTGCTTGTTTTCGGAATGTAATATGTGTGCATCAATTAGTAATAATAATTAACGTTTAATTACCTTTGTTAATTAATTATATTTAATTTTGACTAGCTCTTAGATATGTTTATACCTTAATCGTCTTAATCCAATTAGAAAGCCAAATGAGCATATGAGACTGTAGTTTTCTCAGTCGGGAATTCAGGCTTATCTAATAAGACACTTTTGAGAAATATGTTTAAAGGTATATGGGCGCCAATAACTCTTTTTTATTTATAAAAGCTAGTTGAGAATTATAAATGCCTAGCTTTACCACAAGTATTAGAAATTAAAAATTTAAAAAAACCGACTTCAAAAACGTGCAGATGCAATTACCACATCTTAACCAAATTTATATGGGACCACCCCTGAGGTACCACCTTACTAACAAAAAAAGAATCATATAAATCGGACAAGGTGGTAAAGCATTATCGCTAAACATACATAAAAAATGAAGAGTTTGAGGATTTTCTCGTGGACTCAATTATTAGACTTTGACCAAATTTATATGGGACCACCCCTGAAGTACCCCCTTTCTAACAAAAAAAGAATTATTGAAATCGGACACTGCGTTAAATAATTATCGCTGAACATACATAAAAAAAATATATCGCGAAGAATTGAGAACCTCCTCCTTTTTTGAAGTCGGTTAAAAAAGACAAAACTAACTGATTAACTCAAAGTTATATTTAATTTTAGTAAAAAGAGAATTGTTGTAACCATTAAAAATAAGATTCAAAAAGAATATAAATAAATTTTGGTTTATTTTTAATAGTGGAAATGTTTATAAACTTTTACAAATACCAAATAAAATTTACATGGAATATTAAAAATCCAAATCAATGAATAAGCGAACCAATATGCTTTTAGAAACACTAAAAATTATCTGAAAAATGTTATACACTGAATTTGACCATCGTACGATAGTTTTATTAGTTGGCGTCGGCGATAATTAGTTAAAATACAACCTCAGTTGCGAATCTTAGATGAGGCAATCAGGCCGTTGATAAAATTGAATAGGATCCTTAGATGTGGTAATCAAGACGTTGATGCTCCACAATTCGCTCAACGAGTCGACTTCTTATGAAGATAAAATTGACTGCCAAATATTCGCTCTCTAAACAAAAATAAATTATGTTTTTACGAGGCCCTTACAAGAGATATAAGTTAAACTTTAAAATAATTATTTTTAAAATTTCCAACATTTAAAAAAATTAATTAATACATTTACTTTTTTATAGTTCTAAAAATTAATATTAACAATATGAAATTCCAGCAACATAAAAGGAATTAATAAACACATCAAATAATTTAAAATTGATTTTCAAAAATTATACTTATAATTAAAAAAAGGCAGAAATGTAAAGACTAATTAGATTTTTCCAATGACATTAAAAACTTACCGCTATTGCAGACCAGGCACTTTCCCGATATGTTAGTTTAGCTAAACGGTCGATGCAAGAAAGAAATCAAACAATATTTTAAATCATTTTAATACAAATTAATCTATATATACGGAATGGCTCTCGTTTAAAATAACATTTTTAAAAGATAATTTTTAAAATGCTACAATAAACTGTCCTAAGAAAACTAACAACATACCAAAGTTGTTTGAAAAGCTTATAGACCAGTAAGTATATGGGCATTGTAAAAATTTAACTAGAATGAGGATAAATAATGCTTGGCATTCTATATTATACTCTTCAAAGTTCAACAGACCTTCTTAACCCCCATTTTCCTCATACAGTGGTACAAAAACATTCCCAATATAGATTTTCCATAAATGAATGATGTGGAATTTCTAAAAATCACCTAATAGGCACTCATTTTTTTGAAGAAAGCTTAACTGCTTAAGTTTATTTAATTTTTCTGAAGGATATTCTGCTAAATTTGTTAATAAGGATTAATACCAGAGTCATGTGATTTTAACATAAAGGTGCTGGACCCCATTATCCTGTAACCCTCGGAGGCCATTTAAATAAATATTTTCCTACTATATGGATAGGTTGAGGCGGTCACAGAGATCACCAGATCTTACACCTATGGATTATTTTTTATGAGGCCACCTTAAGTCAGGTTACGAGGAAATTAATACCCAGGTACAGTTAATGGATAAATGTTTCAATGTATGTCACATACATTAAAACATTGTCACCAACATTAGAAATAACCCAGGAATGATTGACATCAGTAAAAAAAAAACCTTTTAAAACGTTCTCAGAAGAGTATTGACATGCAAGTTCATTTTAGTATTCTGGTAATAAATTGAAGCTACATTTCTGTTGATTAGTTTGTTTATTAAATAAACAATTCTAAAATGTTTACAACTATTCATTCTACGGCGAACCTGGTCCTGTACAGATGATTTTTTTTAATTGAATAATACACTAGATAAAGAAATAAGATAAGTATATAATTGTTGAAATTTACTGTACGAAAGTCATGAACGTGCCATCAAATACTATTTATTTTAATAATTGATCCATGCACTATTTAAATGTTAATTAATGTTTAGTAAAAACCGATATACAGGATGATATTTTATAGGGCAATATAAAAAAAAGAGTCCGGTCCTGGACTTTTTCAAAATTAAAATAAGGCTTTGATTAACCTAAGAGAGTGTAACATTTCTACTAAATTTTATCGAAAAATCTGTAGCCGTTTAGAAAAAAATGACCGGCCAACTATAATTTTGGTAGAAAATCAAAAATACATATCTGGATCAGAAATGATTTAGATTAAATGTATGCATGGGGATGTTTTGAACTCTGATAAGCTCTCACATTAAACTGTCCGTTTAAATCTGGGATGCGCTGTATATTGTTAACGGATAATATGCCCGTTTAAATAAATGAATATATAAAATTTTTAATTTTTTCTTCAGATAATCAAATCTCTTAACAATTCAAGTGATCATATTTTGGCTTTTGGTGGGGCATTCAGCCAAGAGGCGGACTCTCATCTAGTATGTATACAAGATACCCAAGGAAATGAAAATTGCTATTCGACGCATGCTATTAATATTCAGAACAAACCCAGAAAAGGTAAAATATTTAAATACTACTTTGTGGCATAAAATTTTGTTTTAATGTCTTATGTAATTTTGTTGAGAAAAAGATAAAACATTACAATGATATGAATGTCGGCATCTTGATATGAAAAGAACATGTTTGATCATTTTGTATATTCTAATTGTTTTAATTTTTTTTAGTGACGGGAGCAAGTTTCATCGTATTCAACGGGGCTTTGAAATCTTCCAGTGGTTTGACTGCTAAATCCAATATTGTAGAAGACGGTTTAATGATTCAAGTATTACCAGAACATATGCAACAGATTAGGGAAAATTTGAGAGCGATGAAAAATCACACGATATCCTGTGGCTGTGTAAATGCAGTTTCCGACGAGACCGTAAACATTGTTTGGGGAGAAAATGATACCAATTTTAATATAGGGTAAATATATAAAAATTGTAATGTTTTCTTACAATTAGCCTTTTTCCTGGGAAGATTTAAAAAAGATCCGCTAGGGGCAGCACCGGTGAGGGGGTACATATGTTTTGAACTCTTTATTGACAACAACGTCAAACGTATAGATTTATAATGGAATTAACGCAAGATGATGTACCTGGAGCGAAATTAAAATTTGCAAAAGTGCAAGATCAGAAGCTAAATCATTATTTAATTGGGATTACTATTAGCATTTTTATTACTAATTTGTCCAGTTAGTGATTCAACATCATTAACAGTAGAACAAGTTTATGACGTTTATTTTTTCCAGTGCTTGAGTCCTCTTCAATACATCGTTGCTGTCTTTTACGTTTGATAATTAAAACCACAAAATTTTATATTTCATACACAATTAAAAAAAAGTTTAAGTTTATTATTTACTATCAATAATGATATTATGTAGACTGATATAAAATATAACCTCTTTAAATAAACTAACCTTTGAAACTGTCGCTGGCAATGGATTTGGGTTTTCTATTGTTGGTCCATTTGAATTAATAAAATATCTTGTACAAATAAAAGTATGTTTATCTATTTTTTCAATTGTTAAATCTGCCCTTCGTGATAAATGTATCCACACCAAATATTTTTGTGGTTTTATAAAAGGCACAAATTTTACACCATCTTGCTTGTAACGATTGTCAGACGTACAATTAGCAAACGCACAATGTTTTGTAGACATGACAATTTGTTTTTTAATTTTATCACAATATTTATTTATTCTAATAATAATAATAATAATAAAACGTACCTTTGACGTTGTTGTCAATAGAGGATTCGAAACATATGTACCCCCCACCGGTGCTGCCCCTAGCGGATCTTTTTTAAATCTTCCCAGGAAAAAGGCTAATTCTCGGAAGACTTTAACTTTGAAACATTACATCAGGTCCTGTCCAATCTATGCAAAAAATTAAAGCAATCGTATTATTTATTAATTATAATAATTAAAATTAATATTACAGTACTTTTAATCTTAACGTATGGTGCGTTATTAAGGAATTCATCAAACTGATAGAAAAATTGTGTATAGTGCAAATGATTTTATAAATTTCTGATATGAGGTTATTTTGTTACTAATTATGATTCGTCATAAATTACTATTGAATACACTGACGAACATTTTAAAACTTTTTTTTCCTCCCTGGAATGATTTTGGCTGGATTTTATAGATTTTGGCCGGATCCGGCCTCAGATTTTCGATATCAGCCTCCAATTTAAACAATTAAAAACCTATAATATATTTTATTAACAGTTAGCTTAGGTACAGTATAAACATTTATAAATAATTTAAAATTTAATATTTACTTCCATGTCGTTCTTTTATAAGAACTCCTGGATGTGTCTCGTATTAGGGTCCAGCAATAGTCGGCTAACATATTCGGGCTCCACTTTCCTGTATACCTTTTCTCTATGGAGGCAATATCTTGGTGAAATCGTTCTCCATGCTCATCTGATACTGCTCCTAAATTTTCTGGAAAAACGTCCAAATGGGAATGGAAAAAGTGAAGTTTTAGTGACATGTTGCATTCTAAAATATGATAGGCCGTGAGTAGTTCTTCCACGAGTTCACGATAATTTTCTGATTTATTATTTCCAAGAAAATTGTTGCAAACACTTTCAAATGCATTCCATGCCCGATTTTCATTGTCACTTAAAATTTGCCTGAAGTTCGCATCTTTAAACAATTGCCTAATTTGGGGACCAACAAAAATTCCTTCTTTAATTTTGGCCTCACTTATACGTGGAAATTTGTCTTTTAAATACTTGAAAGCATTTCCTTCTCTATCCAGTGCTTTAACAAAATTTTTGATCAGACCCAGCTTAATGTGAAGTGGAGGTAAATATATTTTTTCTTTCTGAACTAATGGTTCTCGGGTCAAATTGTTAACGCCAACTTGTATTGTGTCACGTGGAGGCCAAACCTTAATTTTATAATGTTTGTCTCTTGCACGGCTGTCCCATTCACACAAAAAGCAACAGTATTTTGTATATCCTGATTGCAGTCCTGTCAGTAACGCCACCACTTTTAAATCTGCACATATGTTCCATTTGTGATCTTCGTACTTCACGCATCTTAGTAACATCTTAAGATTGTCATATGTTTCTTTCATATTTACCGAATGACCTATAAGAACCGATGGATGCTCGTTTCCATTAAAAAGTAAAACCGCTTTTAGACGAATCTATGAATAGTCTCCATTTATCGGAAGTATATGGTAAGTTCAGTTCGGTCATTAGGCCAGGTATGTCATGGCAAAATACTAAATCACCTTCCACTACAAAAAAATTTGTGAGAGTAGATTGCCTTTTCCTGTAGATGGACACCTTCACTCCTTTTTCCAAGAGCTTCCACTGCTGCAGGCGGGATCCGAGAAGTTCAGCTTTTGTTTTCGGGAGGTCCAAGTCACGAACAAGGTAATTTAATTCACCTTGAGTGATTAAATGGGGTGTATCAGGCAAATCAAAGGAACTTGTGATGTAGCTTGTTCCGGCTTCTGGTGAAATACTTCCGGAGTCTGATTCGGAATCAAGCGTGTAACTCTGAGGTGGCTGGGGAATGGGTAATGAGTTGTCATGGGGCACTGGTCGCATTGCAGAAGGAATATTGGGGTACTGAATGCTACGCTTGGTTTTGTTAGTAATTCCTTTAATATTCGTCATGCAAAAATAACAATCATCTACGTGAGATTACGAGGTTCCCTCCAAACCATTGGAACTGCGAATGACATAGATTTATGAGTACCTTTCACCCATCCAGTCAATGTTCTCGAGCACGAACTGCAACACATTTTTGGGGCCCAGGACCTATCTTGATCGCCAACTGTGCATCCAAAGTACAGTTCATAAGCCTTTTTTACTAATGAAGATATCGGTTTTTGGTACGCTTTCGCGGTAACTTTGCCACAAATATAACAGAAGCTATCGGCTTTATTAACGCAAACGCGCATCGACATTTTTGGTACCGTTTTAACACGCACGTAGATCTAAGCGAAAATATGAATAGATGTTTACTAAATGATTTTCTGGTAACGACTAAAGGGATATTTCAAGCATAGATCCAACTAATCCAACTACCTGGAAGTAACAATGGGGCGACCGTTTATTACCTATTAATGGGCCTATTCGACCCTTCCAAGAAATCTGAGGCCAATATAAACATTTGGGGGTCAGTTGTATATTAGTTTAAGTCCAAATGTTACAAAATACACGATATTTTTATAAAGAGGATTTTTGTGTTGAACGGTGATATTAGCATTATCAGTGAAAGCTATATTCATTAACTGTCATTGCTTCCGTCAAAAGTGTAGTAACTAACACCAACAATTTTAGTTTTTCAATTTTGAATTTCAGCATTACCTCTTCGATTGATGGCATGTCTCTAAGTGGGATTCCATCAATTCGTGTCCACAACGGTAAAAACCATTATGGTGCCAATGGAAACCGAATTATTAGGTGGACGGAAGTATTCATAATTCAGAGTGGTGATGAGAATCCCAAAAATCAAGATCCCATTGACGTATCAAGAATTTCAGAAAGTATCGCGAAAGCTACTTGCGATGCTTTATTAAATTATCTTGATTTGCTAGTGACAAATAATTTTCAAAAAATTGGAATTCGGACTACTCTTCATGTAGATAGTGTAAGTATTTTTTTTATATTTTTCTAAAGCAGCAAAATAAATTGTCCCTGTCAAGATAAGACAAATTGGAAATATTATCTTAAAGTAGAATTAAATTGAATAAATAATTACAATTCATAGGTTAAAATTGTCACCATTTATTTACAAACCTACTTCGGGTGTACTAAATTTGTTAGTGAGTTTATACAATGTAACATAAAAGTACAAAGCATGGGAATCTCATAAATAGTTAAATATACACACAAGAAAAAAATGGTCTTTTGAGAGAGCTAATAATATTGTGTAAACAGATCTTTAATATCAAGTTTTAGAAAAAAAAAATATTCGTTTTTGTGAGATTACCCTCAGCCTAATAAAATTATTATAATTAATTTTACTATTTTATTCCTGAATACAGGGTGTTATTGAAATACATGTAGACATTATGTGTGTGTGTGTGTGTGAATTCGAGAACTATGGCTGCGGAATCTGAATCCATTTGCCAAACTAATTTATTAATTTTTTTTTTCCTTAATTGATTTGATGTCGGGAAAATGCAATTTTACAATTTTATTTAAGATTGATTATGTAGTCTTTTTTATGAATTTTTTTTTTCCTTGTTTTTTTTCTTTTTCTTTATTTTTTTTTGTTTGTTTTTTTTGTTGGTTTTTTTGTTTTCTTTTTTTTTTGGGATATCACATGGACACAATTACGCTTATGAGTCTATCTAAGCGATTTAGACTAACAAGAGGACCCGGAGAGATAGCATGTAGACATTAAAAAGAAATAATATTTAGGTTTCCTAAAAATATTATTTTGAAAAATATAAATAATTGAAGCAGCAATGAAATTTGAAAAATTATTTTTAATAACACATACACTATTGAAGTTGGCGTGGGTCATCTACAAAATCTAGAGTCATTTAAGGTTATCAACATCAACTAGCAGAGCCACAGTCTGGCCACTCCTCTTTTTTTTTTTTTTAATGGAACACCTTGATAACTCAAAATGAACCCCATATAAATAAATGTTATTAAGTTAAATGACAACCGGTTTTGGCCTTAGAGCATCAACAAGTCTAAAAATTAAATGATAATAATTCACTAGGACTTTCCCACAAAAAGGTTAAAAAATAGATGTTTATGATTAAAACCAAGCACCAACAAGGGCAAGGTAGTTGTAAGAAATACCATATGTGGGAAATGTTGATAAATGTAGGAAATTATGGTGATGATTACGCATACCTTTTTCAATTATACAATTTTTATCACATTTCACACATATCGTATTTCTGACAACTACCTTTTTAATTACACACGTGTATTTTTTAAAACATTTTATGGAGTATATAGTAAGCGCTTATCACTTATTTTTTAGACCTGAAGATGGCCTAAGCCATTTAAGTCATTTAATTTCATAAAATGTATTTGTTCAGTTACCCTATATATTTTCTATTCTCTTCTACTATTCAATTCCAAAAATGTATACCTGAAGTGTAAAGTGAATCGTTTGGACGTTACCTTTTTGAGTTTTTGTTTTCGTTCTTTCTCTTTATTTCCCTTTTTGTCTTTTTTTCTTTCCCTTCTATTTTTTCTAAGATCCCTTTATATAAATTTTGACTTGTTTGGTCATAAAAGCCACACCTTTAAAATTATGGATAGTTTTTATTGAAATTATTTAATATTTATTTAATTATTAAATAGTATCCTACTGTCAGTTCATAGCTGAAAAATAAGTCCACATCGGATCAGTGGAAGACTTAACAAAAGCTCGCCAGGTCATATTTATATCTTAGCTTCACTTCCTTCTACTTACCAAACAAATAAAGCTAAATAATATGAAGTTTGCCAATGCTCTTCATACTGAATCATGGAGATCTCCCGTAATCTATTGTTGCGCTATCAGTCTCTTTTGGCGGCGATATAAACTAACGAAATATTGTTGTATCGTAGATAGAACCCTGTAACTATAATAAATTGTATACTAAATTTGATTCGACAGGTAGAGCCATCTCTAGAGTCAGAAACGAGTGAGGGGGTAGGTCCATATAAACCTTAATAATCGATAATCATACATCGTATTTGACAAATACTGCTGATAATCATACTTGGTATATTATTGTTATAAAGATTTATTTTTGTCATTGCTTTTATACTGTAATTGTAAATTATTGAGCTGTCATATTTTATTAATTCGCGATATATCCTATTGAATATAGCTTTTGATATCGGGACTATGGATAAAATCACCTAAATTAATGCATTCAGCACGCTGTTAAATTAATTTTGGCAACATGTTTCGTGCATTAGCTTATGCAATTATCGATTGGCCTGATACCACTCGTTGTATTATATATGAAAATTTCAATGTTGAGTAATAAAAAATATTTCTCATAATTTTTGTAACGAACCCTCAACAGCTCAATCGTATAGCTTGGCTTAACAAACAAGCGTCCAAGTATGGTCGGAAAAGGGGAATTTACCCATTTTTAAATCTTAAAATTCATTTTTTGACATCATTCACTCTTTTCACTTTTAACATCTATAAACAGATCTTCAATAATACCCTGTATTTACAACATTTTCTAAATATTGAAATAATAGATTTAATTTGCTATATTTTCCCAATTTGCAGGTGTCTTATTGTGCGGGTAGTAATAATACAAGACTACCCCCTATTTACATGAAAAGTTTGGACAATGAGCTGATTCCAGTCCTGCATAGGATAACATCGGGCAATCTGGGGGAGAATTCCATTATTTTGGAACTGATATTTCGGATATTAAATGTTTGAGAAAACTGAAAACTACAGACAATAATCATGTAATATTTGAATATATTTGGTAGCGGTATAGCAAAAATATTGGTTGCAAAAGAATTTAGATCTAATCAAAACAGTCCATAAACCTTATATAATATTGGTTAAGGCATAACATATTCTCAGTAGTTTATAAGTTTATTGCGTTAGTTATTCAATTTTGAAATGCTATGCTATTTAATATCTAAAGTACATATAATCTACATTTTTTGCAGTTTTCAGCTAAAATCTTTTTATTCAGTATTGTGTTTCTATTTTTCAGTCCTATTAAGTAATAAGTTTTAAAACTAAATTTTGTTTAATAACTTTTTAAATAATGTGCAATTTTAGTACTAATTTCACCTCATTTTTAAAAACATAAAAAATGTTTTATTAAATAAATTTGTACAGTTCTTTTTAATTAATAACTTGATAGTTCATGACTTCAGTATTAACGTCATAAATTGTATTGGTCCATCGTAGTGTTTGTTACTATATTCATGGACATTATTTAGACATATTTTATGCAGTAAAGTAAATATTAGTGAAAACGTAGACGGTTTAGCGCGGGGAATGTTTAACAATATTGGGCACATCCCGCAGACAAAAAAGAACTGAATGATAAACCGTAGACACGTGTTTCTGATTGTTGGTCTTCATCAGCCAAGTTTAAAAGATCATGGAACTTGCGATGAAATCAAAACAAAAACAAACAGTGGGAGATCACTCAAGAAGCCAATCGCACATTTGTGGCTTCAGCCAACATTGTCTTAATGTTTGGTATATATACTTTAGATATTATTCATAATATAAAAACAGTATTGAAAATATATAGATATACTCACTGTAAACCATTATTTTATTGTTTATTTAAATTTTGTTAATAAATGTTTTTTAAAATGATGATTAAAATCAACGTCAACTATGAAATATTTCTTTGAATCTGTTTTTATTTTTTCTGTATTAAAATTATTCTGTGATTTATTATTATTAGCCCAAAAGCCTACTGCAAATTTTGATCATCATCTGATAACGAAATGAAATATGCCCTGGAGGCATGTAAAAACATTATAAACGGCGCCTGTGCCAATCACTTTCCTGAGCCAAGTGGTTATAACATACAAATGAAAATATAATTCAAAACAACGATTATATGGTTATATTCGGAAGTTTTCCAGAAATTAACATATTCAAACATTTCTTGAGTACATCGTTAAAGGAAAGCACTTTCTTCTTCTTTTAATTATTTTTATTAGTCAATAGAATATGTTGCTCAATCCTATCTAAAGCAATTTTTCTTTCTATTTCAAATAAGTTAATCTCTAAATTTTCACAAGTTTCTTTTAAGTTGGTTATTTTTATTTCTTTGTTTCCTAACAGTTCCTTCAGCTCTTTCATTTCATCTTCAGATTACTTTTCAATTCCTCTTCAGATTACTTTTCAATTCCGGTACAGCAAGTATCTTTTCTAGTACAATCGATAGAACATATCACTCTATAGCCCTTCAAAATTGTAACATCTTTCATCCTCTCCACATAACTCTGTTGAAAAATATTTTTCTACACCCACATGGATATTAGCTAATATACGCAGACTACAAAACGAAAAAGTATGCTATTGCGTTAAACTGAACGAATATATTTCATATCCATTCTAGGTACTGAGAACATTAAAAAAAAAATGAAATCCATCAATCGCAGTTCATATTTTGGCACCAATGTACTATTATTTTTTAAAATTTTTAATACCTAAGTGACAATTCTGTAAAACTAATTGTTAGTATATTTGTTAGTTATTAAGATTTAATATACATTAAAATGAGTTATTCTTGTGTAGAATCGATAAATAATACCATTTTTATTTATATATCATATATAATTATAAATAATTGGTTAATTTTAATCGAAACTATATAAAACTAATTACATGTATTAAAACTAAATTTGTAGGTGTGGCGGTGTAGGTGAGGCAAGGGCGTTTGTCTTCCACGCGAGAGGCCCGGGTTCAAATCTGGGCTGGGACTAATTAAATTATACCTTTTTTTTTTTCATGTTTATTTTATTTTTGGGATTATAAATTTCAGAGCAAACAAAATTAGCGCTGTCATATCTTATGTGATTTTTTGTATATAAAATAAATAATTTTAACCACTTTGCTCAGGATAGTGATTAGCACAGGCGTTGTTTGGTAAAGTACAATGCTGTTACATGCCTTTGCGGCATATTTCATTTCGTTATCAGGTGACGGCCGAAATTTGCATTAGGGCTTACCGACTATATGTACACTTTAAAAAAAAATTTTAATATATATTGGAATAACTGTCCAAAGTGTAAAGGCGTACTTTAAGATTTAAATTTTATTTACTTATTTTGCATTTTATCAACAAACTTAATGACTAAAAATGTACAGGATGATTTAAAAAGTTGATTATTTTCTTTCAAGTAGTAATTCCTTGGATCTTCAACAGAAATCAGTTTTGTTTAAATATATTAAACAATTAAAAATGACACATTTTTTTTGACCTTTTAATTTTAGTGTGTGCCTGAGCAAGTTCCAGGTGTCTAGTTCTGTACACTGACTACATATATTGCATATTAATAAAAAGTGTTCTATAAACTGTTAAAATATTATTTTTAAATCACCCTGTATACTTAAATTCTACACGTTTATCTTATTTTTAGAAATATTTTGCACATAAAATACTATCAAACCTAAGCATACCTAGATATATATTTTTAAAAATTGTTCATTTTGTATTTATTTATTAATTAGGCTTGTATTTTGTTTAGAATATTGTAACTTATAGAAAAATGTACTAAAAGAAATCTGAGCTTTACTTTTAGAATAGCTTTTAAATTGTATATAAATATTGTTAATTGTTACAAATACAAATGCTGTACATTCTAACTACACGTTAATTATTTAAATTAATAAAAATCATATATTTCTACTACTTAAAAAATATATTTTTTGTCAACCCATAGTTACTCTTTCCAAACTGATTCCATGGAGCTGGTGTCAACGGGTCGCAGCACCATATAAAAAATCTTTTTTTGACTCATTTAATTTCATGTCATCAACATAATGTGGTTTTTCATATTATCGAAGCTTCCTACCAGTGCAGGTATATATTAGAATCAATCAAATAAGTAGAAAAATATTGGGGATCAATATTTCTAAGTCTATTTTTTAGGTCTTTAACCAAATATTTAGCGGCATTTTTTTAATCGTTGTGAGGTTTACTTAGAAAAGGCAGGCACACGAATTTGTATAAGGTGATCAACAAACAGAACTTGTTTGAAGTAGAAAACTGTGGTACAGCTAAAAGTGTTTTATTTTTCGGTGTGAAATAATAAATTCCTACTGTTTTCTAAAAGTAAACGGGTGTATATCAATAAAATGAACTGAAGCAGAAATTGGTGGACTTTTGTTAAAATTTGAAAACGAATCTCACACATTCAAACACTCGGCAACGCAGTAAAGAACATATGCACCAACCGGAGACGCACGAAAGTGCAAGTACAAAAAGTCCACATTTGTTGGGCCAATTGCCTAAAAAACACCCTGTGTGAAAGGATTAAAGTCACATTTGTACGAATAAAATCCACTATCAAATCTAAATATAATTTTTATAAACGATGAGAGTTTTTTAGCTAAAAAAAAAAACAAAAAATTCTTATATATTTTTATTTATGAATAGGGTTGCCAGATTTACAAAAGTGAAAAGCGTGACAACCGTGACGACAGAACATCAGGTTCAAATAAAGCATTTTTATATGATCAGGTCCATCTTTTGTAAAATTTCTAAAACAAAAAAAGTTGTATTTTTCGTAAACGAGGGTCTTTTAGCCTAGATTTATCTTAAAAAAAAGGTCCTCACCTTATATTTTTATTTACGGCTTTGAATACTAAAAAGCGTGCATAAAAAGAGTGGCATTTTTGTCAAAAGCGTACTGTGGCGTTGAGCGTACAAGCAAGTCAAAAAGCGTGGCAAATACGCCTAAAGCGTGACGTCTGGCAACCCTATTTATGAAACATATTTTATCGAAATGTTTTATTTATGGCAGTGTTATACTATAGTATTAAAGCACTTGTGTACATAGAATTGCCTAACAACATGATGATCTTTATGTGTAGCATTATCGAATTAGGAGATTTCCCGAAGGCAATATATGTATTTCCCTTACCGTATATTATGTAAATAAACGCTCTGCCTACATCCGTGCAGCGGTACAAAATATTTTAAAAACTAATTTTCTGATTTCATTAGCTGAAAAATGCCATAATATATCTTTGGGAAGGCCTACTCCCGATTTAAAATTTACTCAGGCAGACAAAAGTTGTAAAGGTTCATATACTTTCAAGGCAAGTGTACAATAAAAACAAAAGTGGATGTGTTTTATTATTAGACTAGTGTTTTAATTAATTAGAAGATAAATGTGACAAAACTAGTATTTGCACGTAATTTTGACGAAAAAGTAGAACACAAATACTTAGATTAGGAGAAATAAAAAGTGTTCCAAATTAGAGTAATACCTATCGGATCACCTAAAGTGATTTGGTAAGTTTTGATAAATGTTATATATTTTAAGTGCCATTTAAAAGTAATCTCCCTCCTCATAGACTAGGCCACAAGCTTCTAGTGTTTTTCATAATAATGTTTTCACTTGAGTTTCCATTATTTCGTAGAAATAATTGTCATTTTTTTTTTATTTTTAAAGAATTTTGTGATTGTTATTTATTATTTACTAATTTATTTAATTTAATTTATCCTTGAAGAAGAAAAAAAAATCGTCAAACAAAATCGTAGAGGAATTACTTTTCAGTTTTATTCATATTTTTTTCCGTAATCCGGTGACAGAGAGGCTTCACGGCGGTTCGAATCCCTCGACAAACCATTTTTATTTTCTTGTTTTGTTGTAGGATTTAATGGGTGGTGTATTAGCAGTAATTTCATTTTTGTTGATACAGGGATATCTGATTCCATTTTTCCCACCTGTAAATGAAATGGCACCATCAAAGAGGTAGAGAGAGGCATTATGCATTAATCTTTATCTTTAAGATGATTTATTACAGGAAGATTAATCTGTGATTACTTATATCGCCATACATGAACAAGGAAAAAATCCCAGTATATATACCAACAGTGTTGTTCCTAGGGATTTTTGAATTGTACAACTCATAGATAAACTAATAAAGAAGATGGTCGGATTCTGTGTTAATCTTTGGAAACGTAGTGCTGCGAATTAGTATGGAACGGATCTTTTTTGAACTACACTGGCTGATTGATTTGTCAGTAAGAGGCATAAAAAAAGAAGAGTGTTAACGTAACCGCGGTTCATTTAAATATCTTTATTTATTTATTTATATTTTTTGGGGTTCATTACTTTAAAAAGAAAAACTAATATTTATATTAAAATATTGTATTTAACATATATATTAGTTTTTTTTTTAGTTATAAAACCCCAAAAAATGTATACAAAAATGTAGACAAAAAATATTTACACTGAAATAAAATATAAGACAAATATATTTAAATTATTTATTATACAGTAATACATACATAATGTGTTAATAAAGAACAATTGTAAGTGAAATGAATACTAGTTTCCCCACATTCTTGTAAAAATGGACCATACTTTGATGGGCGTCAGGTGTTTCCTATAAAAACAAAACAAAAAGTGTACATATATGTTATTGAACAATTTCTCTTATCAAAATGTTGACCATTTTTATAAAACTAAGTTATTTTTAATTATTTGACGAAGATTGAGAACGACGCAGTCAACATATCCAACAATTTTGTCATTAACTGTATCAAAAGTGAGTTTTTCGGTTAGAGCTATTTCGTCGAACATTAAAATACAATTCCTATCAATTTCTGGCATTTTTCTAACAATTTCTTTAAATCTGGAAAACACTGAATCATTTATCCCCGTTTCAAAATGTAAATCACTTAAAATTTGTTGGATAGTAGATTTACTAGGCAATGAAATGCATTTTCTTAAAAAATTATATGCTCTTGGACCATTTTTATATAATGCTAAAGAAAAAATTTTATTCTGAGTGGTCCAAGAGGGTTTCTTTCTCTTACAATTTTCTAAACTACTTTTAAAGAATTTAATTCCAATCGGATCTAATTTATTATTAAAATCTGAAAATAACTGAGTTTTGGATAATTCAAAGGCTTTCTTGATTTTATTTTTGGAAACACGTACAGTTTTCTTTAGCTTACAAATTCTAACGTTTTGTTCTCTATTAATAAAATACAGCTTTTTCTCTTTGGGACTTAAATTTTTGACTTTACTTTCATTTATTTGTTGCAAAACAGTTTTTCTCCGTTTGGAGGGTTGTTCAAATTGTACATCACTAATATTTAGTTTACGTTTGCAACTAATTTCTTGATTTTCGTTGCTGATTAGCAAATCTATCTTATGCTGCTGTGTTTGTGCTTCAGCCTCAATATATTCTGAAATCTGGCTCTCGGGTTGTATATTTGAACTGGATGCATAATTATCTAAAGAAATTGGTACAGAATGTACAACTAGTCGTTTTGAGGAGACCTTACTAAAAGACTGGCAAAAAATGATCTTCACAAAGATAGCGAGTATTATTATCATCTAAAGTTAAATTTAAATTCTTAAACCAGTTCTGGCGAACTTTAACATCAGAAGGAAAATGAAAAAATGCTTTATTTGAATAACCAACTTGCTGAATATTAGAATACTTATTTAAACAATTAGGAGCTGAACAAGAATACTTAACTATACCCGGGCCAGACATTTTTGTTTCAAATATTAGAAAAGGAATTGTTGAAACATGAAATTAGATACCTATATATCGTTAAGGCTAAGAAAACAATGATAAACAAAGTCCTCAAATACTTAATATTAAATTAAAGTTAATACTTACTAATTACATCAAATCAGCACCGTTTGTTTCTTAACCTAAAAATAACTTACCTACCTATGTAACTTACATCATAAAATAAAAATAAGTTTTATTTTATCATCATATCCCGCCTTCCGCCATCACGTTTTTCATTTTTTACAAGGTTGTCAATCCCGTCTTTTAAAAATCTCAGCAATAGTATGGACATTGTATGGATGGTATGGTGCGCATGTAGATTGATAAAAAATTAAAATAAAATGAATTTGAAATAACTATCATCTCATGAAAGTTTACGGGAACCGGCAACATCGCTTTCATACTATTGCGATGGTGGCGCTAACTAATAGTATGCTGGGAACTACGCCGTGTTGACAGTGGCGGGCATTTAATAAATTCATCTTGTTTTATATTAATTTATCTATGGTACAACTTTCAGTGTCAAAATTGTACACTTTTACTTTCGATTGTACAACCACTAATTAATCTTCTTCTTTTTTATTGACAGACTATTGCCTACTACTTTCCCATGCTTAAAATTCTTCTTTTTTCCAGTTTAAAATATATTTTTGATGTAAAACGGTGTACTGATTGGTCGCGAATGGCGCCAAATTTAAACTTTTATTTTTTTATTAATTTTAATGCATGTTATTTAACAAATCGTAGACTTTTTGAGCGAAGAAAACCTTTTATATACCCGATTTTACATAAATATTTAGCAATTTCAAATTGTACAACATTTCTGTCTTTTTTCAAAAGTGCGTACAACAGTACAACCGCATAACTGATTGTACAACTTTTTGTACAATTGTACAACCAGGAACAACACTGTATACCAATCAGTATTGGCACTCTGAAGGCGAGTTCGGTCAGTCAGGGGCTGGAGCGGGACAAATTTTAGGGTGCTTTTAAATGACATTTAAGCGTGTTAAACTGTCACTAATCGGACTAAACCGAACGCTAAAAGAGTCGTTTGGAGTTAAAAGTGTTAAAGGAGTTAAAGGAACGTGGCAAACCGAACGCAATGTGAGGCGGCACGTTAGATGACACTTGACGTTTTCGGGATATGAAAAGTTTTCTTTACACGGACTTGGTATACCTGGTTAGTTGAATTTTTGTTCTGCTGCTTTTCAAATTCGTGTGTATGAGCGAGATGTGAGATACCTTTATAGACAACGGTTGAACAACTTAATTACTTTGAAGAAGAAAATTAGGCATTCCAAACTGAATGCCTACCAGGGGGGCTATTTTCAAAGTATGGGAGCACTCATTTCTCTCAAGATTCTCATCAGAAATGTCATACGTCAATGTGGAAACGCTGTTTTTAAAGGCCTCGAGGATTAAAAATCTTAGGAGGATATTAATTATCTCTAAATAAACCGTGAGAAACAATCAGTGAGTTCACACTGGCCCTTAGGACCCTAAAAATTACTGTTTTACGTTGACGTATGACATTTCTCTCGAGAGAAATGAATTCTCTCGACTTTGAAAATAGCCCCCCTGTGGGCTTTGACGGGTTATGATATTGCATAATTATGGCAACCCTGTAGACCTGGTGATTTGACAAGGTCAATGAAATAGATAGTTACATAGATTGATTATCCATATTTTTCAAAATAAACATAAGCGTATGCCTTGAAGTAAAAATGTAAGCAATTATTTTTTTTTAAATATCAAGGCTAAAAATTGGTTTTAAACACATTTTTGCTAAACCGATTCAAATTAATAAATATTTGCCAGGCAATATGGCCGCTCGTAAACGACCAGCTTTGAGCAATCTATATAACTATATATGTATCATTGGCCCTGTTAATGACAACATGACAACAGGGTTGCCATATCTAAACTGTCATTACCCACTGGTAGCCATTTGGACAGGTCGTTGGAATGCCTAATAGATTAGATATCAGGGCAGTTTTCGCAAATGTAAGAAGGACAGAACCGTTTTAAATTTTTTTATATATGTAAAATATTACTTTTTGGTGAAAAGTTTAATTCCTTTTAGTTCAAAATATAACGTTAATTTGTCAAGGGAAATATATAACACACAAGGTTAGAGTAACAAAATAGAGGTATTGCTTTATTTCTTAAGAATTACTCTAATCTAAAACTTTTCTAGTAAATTGTAAAAATTTATTCTATACGTTATTTAGGTACTACAAAATCTATAGGAAAGTATGTAGTTTTAAATTTAAAAAGCTGCGCGTCTTTTTCCCGCCCAGGGGGTCAATTCTCGACTTGTAGGAACCTTTTCCTATAGGAATTTGTGACACTTTCCTATAAGTAGGACAATGTCATAAGTTTTCGATGTATATAAAAATGTCAAAAATTCCTATAGGAAAATATTCCTACGAGTCGAGAATTGACCCCCAGGGGTAGTATTCTCGAATCACGAATACCGACATTCGCATACGTGTTTTATAATGTGTCTCACTTTGTTGAACGAAAACCAAGTGAGACCAATCATAAATCTCGCATGCGAATCTATATTCGTGACTCGAGAATACTACCCCAGGGAGTGTCATGGGCAAAAAATGTTTCGTTTTACATTATAAGAAGATTTCTGCATTACTTTTCAAGCAACAGATCACGAATCAACAGACGTAAAAAAAGAAGTTGATGGTGATATATGACATTGACATTTTATAAGTTTTCATTTGTCATATGTTTGTCATTTTGGAAAATATTTTTGTAATGGCGGATGAAAGTGATGGATTTCCTCTTCATAAAGCCGTTTTTGAAAATGATTTACCAAATCTTTCCAGATTAATAAGAAAACAGGATGTAGCTTCAAAAGATAAGCATGGTAAAGCAGTTTCAAATTAGGTTGTTTTCAATTCGTCGATGAAAATTAAAATATTGTAGGTTAAGTTTTATTGCAAAAATTTTATAATTTGCTTTTATTTTTAGGAAACACAGCGTTACACCTAGCAGTTATGCTGGGTAGAAAAGGTATGTATAATTTTAATATTCTGTAATCGATAAAAATTATTTTTCTACTATAGTGATAATATTTTGCAGAGTGTGTCCAATTACTTTTAAAACATGACGCCCCCGTAAAAGTGAAGAATGGATTGGGTTGGACTGTCTTAGCAGAGGCAGTTAGTTATGGACATCGTCCTACAAGTAAGAATTAAAAAGCATACTTTTCAATGAAAACTTAAGTAGTAAATGGATGGAATATTTTAAATTAACTAACAGTGGTCATTTCACGTTATGAGAAAGTGAAACAATTTACAAAAAAATATATATATAAAATATAAAAAAAAAACAGTGTGAGTGTAATGTTTATACAGTAACATGAAATATATCGCACCTTAAAGGCCGATTTATAAACTTTCAGTTGCAGTTACCGCTCGAAGTTGCAGTTCCCGTTGGAAGTTAAAAAGCTACTTTTACTTTTGTGCACTTATATTCTCTGTTGCTGTCACCGTTCGCTGTTGCACATTCAAACATAAAGTTTTATGTTCAACGGCGACTGCAACGTCAAACAAACAGTAACGGCGAAGAAACTGCAAGTTTATAAATCAATCTTTAATCATAAAATGGGACAAATCAAAATTTTGAGTTTCGGTAATAAAAGGACCCAAAATAGTTCCATCTATTGAGGTAACTCTGACCTACGTTGAAATAGTCAGCCAGGAAGTGCAGATTTTTTTGTGCCATTTTAGTTTTATCGGATTTTGTAAGATGATTTAGACCTAAAGGGACATAATTTAAATAATATAATAATAATAAACATACTTTATTGGTATAACCAACTGGCCATAAAAAAGCATTTTTTGCATTATTTCTTGAAATTTTTTTTAAATATAATAAAAAAAAAGATACTTCAAAATAATTCTAAAAACTTTATGCAATTTTTAGTCATAAATTGACACATTTTGTACTGATATTCCTTTTATTACTAAAGTGACCTAACTGTAATTTTTTTTTATCTAACAATAAAATCATTTTTCCTTTCTTTTAAAAACAATAAATCCTGCATACATCTTTAAAATATTGCTTAACCTTTTCACAAATTTCATTTTTTCATAATACTGTGTAAATGGGCCCGTTCACTTTTATTTTTGAATGTGAATTATTTATATATTTATAAAGATATTAAACTCTTTTGTCTGGTGGTACTTTTCCCGTTATGATATTTTTGCTAGAAGTAAGGGAATTCCCATAAAATTCTTTCAGTGACTCATTGTGTCAGAAAACCCCTAATTCCCTTCAGGTCTCGTATCGGTTAATAGTTAAAAGGGCGCGGTTGTCGGATGTATCATTGCACCACCATTCCTCTTCTGCATTTATTAAAGAAATTTACATGATAAAAATATATTATTTTTTAAAAATAATGTGTTTATATTTTCAGATAAAGCTGGAAGCCCTACCTTTTTTAAATTTTAATAAAAACAATTAGTATTACTCAAGCTGAATATTACCAGATCGAAATTTTATTTGAGAAAATGTATCTGGTAAACGTGACAACGTTGTAAGTACTTCTAAATAGTGTTGTCTACACACACTTCTAGAAATAAATGCAACGTTGCCACGTTTACCAGATAAATATTGCAAATCAAATTTCTACTTTTTGATTATGGTCTGGTTAATTTTCAGCCTGAGTAATAATAATTGTTTTAATTAAAAAGTAAAAAATAAGCTCCAGCTTTAAATCTGAAAATATAATTTCATGATGTTTAGAAAAATAATGGAATTTTACTATTTAAATTACATATATAAATGCAGAAATGCTATATTAGGGATACTTCCGACAACCCCGCCGTCTTTAAGCATAACCGATACGAGACGTGAACGGAATTAGGGATTTTCTGACGCAATGAGTCACTGAAAGAATTTTATGGGAATTCCCTTACTTCTAGCCAAAATATCTTAACGGGAAAAGTACCACCAGACAAAAGAGTTTAATATCTTTATAAATATATAATTAATTCACATTCAAAAATGAAAGTGAACGGGCCCATTCAAACATTTTAACACAACTCCAAATATAAAACAGTTTATGGCAGATTCTATGAAACTAGCATTTTTTGGTTGTGCCACTTTATGAATAATGGTGTGATATATAAAATTTTTTTTTAGCAGTGAAAATATCAACTTTAACTTCCAAAAAGCTGTTTTATTAGGTACAACAAAAAATTCCAAAGCTGAATAAGGTTACAAATTAGGAAACTGCCAAAACAAAATGAACTCTAAAAAAATGTTTCTACACCTACGTTTAGTATGCCCCTTAATGTTTAATTAGATGCAGTTCACTACATAATGTTTACATCAATTTTTTGATTTGTGTCAATTGGACCACTGTTAGTTGTATTAAAAAATAGTTAACCAGATTTTTACATTGACTTCTAAAATGCAAAATTTTAAATGTGACAAAAATGTTTATTATTTAGCTATTGGCTCATATGTATTGATAACGGTTAAAAATGTTTTCAAATACAAATTAAATAAATAATTTTTAGTTTCTTCATTGGTGAGAAAATTCAGACAACAGTCACGAGAACAAATGGAAGGTAGAAGACCAAATTTAGTAAAAGCTTTAAGTAAAATAAATGATTTTTATATGGAATTAAAATGGGATTTTCAATCATGGGGTTTGTATTTTTTTATATTGCTAGTACCTAAAAATTTATAGCATTAATATTAATTTTTTTTAAGTCCCACAAATAATATTTTGATAATTTGAGATTTAAACAAATTGTTTAGTAAAGTTCTCTTAATTTAAAAGTAATTAATTTTGCAATTATTGTTACATTCACAATTTGCTTAAAATGTGTTGAAATTGATTTAGTGTATCAATCATATTTATATTCTATGTACTATGTCATGATTTTATCTTGATTAATTAAGTTTATTTTGAATATCTACTTCAGATTAAGATAAACAATTATTTATCCAAATTATCAATACAAATACCTATATAATTCCAAATGTGCAAATAATTTTATTTCCCATGATACCATTATTTTTTCTGTATTGCACAGGTCCAGATACTATTGTTTAAATTTTGAATTTACTGTTTACCTATGTGTTTTTAATATTTTCATTAATTATGCCAAACTTTTATAGATATTATATAAGAAATTAGGGTTGCCACCTGTCCTTTTTTGAAGCAAAATTTCCTTGTGATTTTTTAAACTTTTACAACAGATGTCTTTTTTGAAGGGACATGGTTCGTACAAAAATATATAAGCTGAGGACCTTTTTTGTATACCAAAGCCCCTGTCAGCATCATAGTCCTTTTTTCAGTTTTCAAAAAGGAGCCAACCCTAAAAGAAATTGTATTTTTAGATTCTCTTGTTTAATTTTTTGAATTTAGTGTTCATGGATTTTTAATATTTTCATAATTATGCCAAACTTTTACAGATCTTTATTAATTCTCCAAATGGCTAGTGAGCAAAGTCTTTCTGTTAATTTCATGCTTTTTTTTTCTCCTGGGCTCGTCTGACTGTGTGTCTCCGAATAACACTGAAGCCTATTGGCTTATTGTGTTTTACCCCATGTTAGTTTATAGCACCCACTCTGTCACCTTTGTACCTTGTGCAAGTTTGTACAGATCCTTGGGTGAGCAGGTTCTATACGTTGTTGGATCAACCTGGGGTTGTCCAAAAAGAGCCTGTCTTTTGCGATCTAGAGCTTCGCATTCGCACAGTATGTGTTTGGCCGTTTCTGGTTTCTTGTGACATAGTCGGCACATGAGTTCCCCATTGTACATGCCAATTTTGTTCAAATGTCCCTTTACTGGGGCGTGCCCAGTCATGAACCCTGTTATCACTTTCAACTGGTTCCTATTCATTGAGAGTAGTTCTCCAGTTCTTTTGGGACATGGTCTGCCTATGAAGGCTTTTCCATGTGCCTGTTTTGGGGTGTTTCCCCAATAGTTGATATGTTGTTCCTGAATCCAGTCGTTTATGAAACCCCGGACTGTACTTTTTGGTACTCCTGGGTTTGTGTCTGGTTCCGGTGTTTCTTCTGACCCTCTTTTTGTAAGTTAGTCAGCCTTTTCGTTGCCTTCGGTCTGCCAGTGTTCTTAGTTCTTCGATGCATTCCCATACCAGCCTCGACGTAACTTTCTGACTCGATATGGCCTTAAGTGCCGCTTGGCTGTCTGACATTATTTGAATATGCTGGTTTTCGACAGCTCTTTCATTGTTAGTTTTTGCACATTGCAAAATTGCGTATACCTCGGCCTGAAATACCGAGGAATGTATTCCTATAACATAGCTATGGTTAGTATCAGGGTTTTTGCCCCAGTGCCTTCCGCAGTCTTAGACCCGTCTGTGTACCAGGTTTGTTCCTGTCGTTGGGCATTGGGCTCCCTTATGGTGATCTCCGATCTTTCCTGTATTAAAACTTCAAATGGAGTATTAAAAGAGTACCTCTTGGTTATGTGGTCTGATCTCATGTCTAGCACGTCTCCTGTCACTAACCTTGAGATACTCATGTGACCTGGCCTAATGTCAAGATTTCCCAGTGTATTCCCTAATCTGTAAGCACCTAATCTTGCCTCCCTTTGTATCACATAGTGAAGAGGTGGGAGTCCTATTAGTGCTTCCATTGCAGCAGTGGGGGTTGTTTTCATTGCACCCGTTATTCCGAGGCAGGCAAGTCTTTGTACCTTGCTTAGCCTCGTTATTGCTTTTACTTTGCTGTGTCTTTGGCCACCACACCAAAGCTGCGTATGTTATTATCAGTCTCACCACCATGTTATAAAGCCAATATACCATGTCTGGTTTTAACCCCCATTTTTTTTCCAAAGGATCGCCTTGCCATCATTAATGATGTTTCTACTCTCATTTCATGCTTCTCAATTTCATGCTTATTTAGGTTTTAATATAAATGGTTTTTTTTTTTAAATAATATAAGTAGTTTGATAATACCAAAGAAGGGAGCAAAGCATTTAGGGAATTTTAAGTCTAAAAATAGCAGAGCTGGGGAGGATTCGAATCACATATAATTCGAATCCTTTTTGAGGATCCGAGAGCGGTATTCGAATACTTAAGAAAAAAAGGATCCGTGATCCGGATTCGCCGAGGAAATCGTAAAGTCTCGGATCCTTTTAGAGACCAAACTACGCCAGCGCGAACGGTCGACTCAAGCTTTGACCTGTCGCGAAGTGTAAACTGATTGTGAATATTTAAAAGATATACATAATAATCTACAAATTAGCAATGAATATCCAACATAAAAAAAATCCTAAAATTTAAGACTAGCCTTCCTTCGTCTGGTGTATTCGAAAAATTATTTTTGTTTGCAGATATAATCGACACACCCCGAAAGAACGGCCTGACAGATAAAAACTTTGAAATTTTGGTGCTATGTTAAGCCAACCAAAAGACATTTTTATTTCATTGTTTATTATTTTGTTTTTAATATTAAAATAATAGTAGTTTATGTTATAAGGACGAAAAGTTGAGTTTTACGGGCGACTCATAGGAGTCCGAAAATACACTTTTCGACCGTGTGATATTAAAAAAATATAGAAAATTAAATCCAAATATTATTTCCAATTTTTTTATAACTGAGATGGGTTGTGATCGATAAGAATGATTAGGTGGCTAATATATTTGTTGTAGATTCTAATTTATTTATGGTTCATATTCATAGAAAAAAATAGTTTATATTATTCAACATCCTCTTGTATCAACTATTTTTATTCACGTCATAGTCCGTAATAGACCCATAGTTGCTAGATTCGGAAGCATACATAATACCATGGTAACACTGACAGTGATTCGTATTCGTGATCCGAAAAAATGGATTCGAATCACTTGATTGGAATCCTTTTTTTTTTGTAAAAAGGATTCGGACATATGATCCGTGATTCAAATCACATCTCGTGATTCCAATCTATTTTTTGAGGATTCGTCCCAGCTCTGAAAAATAGCCTAAAATGTGGCATAGTTGTTTTTAGAAAAAGAAAAACTGAATTGAAATTGAACATTTATATGGTATTTGGGTTCTTAACACTATATTTAGTGTAATTACCAGAAATTTAGCCGAATCCTTTAGTGTTCCAACCAGATGTAGGGATCTTTAACGAGCCCAACATCCATGGACTCAGGACCTACGGCTTTATATCTCCTTCGAAAATATTGCACACCCCTCGCTATAACTCGTACTTATTAACGCCTGCCCGCTATGGTGTGCAACTAAGTGAATATTTTTTTCGGACGTACGCCGACTTTCGTTGAAATGGTCACCCATCTAACTATTAACTGCGCTGGGCCTGGCTTGACTGCAGATGCACAATAAGTAAACCTGCTAAGCCGGGTTGCTGCCCTACTTTAAACAGTTATAAAATATTATTTTCATCTACATATCCCATTTCTTTTTAGTTCCACTTGTAACAAGAATTTTGCCTTCAGACATTTGCAAAATATACAAAAGTGGGGCAAATATAAGATTGGATACGACTCTAGTAGATTTTTCAGACATGAGGTGGGAAAGGGGTGATATTTCTTTTATTTTTAATGGAAATGGTAAACCAAATGAAAGCCTTACTGTATTGGATAATGTTTCTAAAGTATACCAAAAAGTTAGACATGAGGTAAGTCATTTTTTACATTTAGTAAGTTTATTTCTTTGTGCCCCTAGATTAGATTAGGAGTTGGACGTTATTTGTCCTTGTCCACCGCGACCTTTTCAGATCTATTGTGGGACTCCGTTTGTTTTAGAGTATGTCGTCTAGCCTGGTCTTTTTTATTAGACTTAGTAGCTTTGACAGTGGCTCCCGCATGTAGTTGCATGCAATTGGCTTTTCTTCGCCCAATGTTACAAACCTCATTCCAGCCAAGCCTTCACATTGGCACAGGACGTGGAATGATGTTTCCTCTTCTTCTTCACAGAACCTGCACAAAGTTGCTTCTTCTGCTGGATTTATGACACTCATGTGCCTTTTGAGGCGACAGTGTCCAGTAAGAAGGCCTACTGTTATCCTAACGATTTGACGTTTTTGATCTAGTAGGTCTTTCGTAAACTTGGCCGATGGTTCCTTGATGAACTGTTTGGCCTGTCTCAGTCTTGGATAGTTGTTCCACCATTCCTGAGACTCTTTTTGCATCCATTGTTTAATGGATGCCTTGCACAATGCCTTAGCAACTCCACAAAAGGGTTCAGGGCCTGTCATGGCCTTATCTGAGCCTTCTCGGGCTAATTCGTCGGCCTTTTCGTTGCCCTGATATCCCTCATGGCCTGGAACCCAGGCTAAGGTCACCTTATTTTGACAACTTAGCTCTGTCAGGTCTTCTAGACAGTCTTTCACCAGTCGTGATTTGATTTCTGGTGAGAGAATTGCCTTTAGAGCTGCTTGGCTATCAGAGTATATGGCAATAGTTTTGCCTGATACTTGCTGATTTAATATTTCTCTTGCACAGTGTTGTATGGCTATTAGCTCAGCCTGGAACACTGTTGCATATTTTCCTAAGCTTAGTGAAATCGTTGATTTCGACTTAGGTCCATAGATTCCAGCACCGGCTCCTTCCTTGGTTTTTGAACCGTCTGTGTACCAGACGAGTTCAGCCTGTACGGGAGGTCCCTGTTTCCAGGATTCTCGGGCTGGTATTTGAATTTGAAAATTTCTTTCAAATTTGTATGTGGTTATGGCTCTATGTGCCCCTATGCAATGGACTTGTTAATTAAACGTCTAAATATTAGCCAATAAATAGGAATTCGTTTTGGATTTTTTCTTTTTTTTTTTACTCTTTTTTTGCATATTTATAAAAATGCTAATTATCATTATTTTGAAATTTTTTAAAGTTTTAAGAAATTGACTTATAAAAAAACCCTGTACTGTTTTATTTTCAAGGAAAGTGAGATGGAAATAGAAGACGAAGTTGATTTACTAATGTCCACTGATATCATGGCGGCACAAATATCTACAAAAAGCATATCTTTTGTTAGAGCGCAAAGTGGATGGATTTTTAGAGAAGATCGCAAGGTAATTAAAAGTATATTGGAAATATCCTTGGAGTTTTTTATAGATTCTTTCTCTTTTCATCTTTCTTTTTTGTAATCAAAATATTGTAAAATACATATTCCACTTCCAGATTAAAAATATTTCTGGTAGATTTAATGATTTCTATAAAGTTACTGGGTTGTTTTTAACATGGTTGCATTTTACATAAACTTTTATTTTTGTAGGAATTAGTTGCAGGTCAATATGAAAGTGATTTATACACTGTTCATGGTTTGCAGCTAGAAAGTCGGAAAAGAAGAGAACACTTATCATCTGATGACTTACAAAAGAACAAAGCTATTTTAGAAAGCTTAACCAAAGGAGCAAACTTGCAACATTTTGACCAAAATGATGAAGTAAGTAAAACATATGATGATCAGATGGCAAAATAGGGCATAAGCAAAATTTTCAACTACAGTACAAATGAATATAATATTTACCAAGTTTAAAAATTCGACTCAAATCGTGCAGATGCCATCACAAATTGAATTTGCTGATTTTCTCATATACTATGGTTTCAAAATAATAGACAGTGGTAAAATTTCAAGAATGTGTAGTGGAATGTTGACATCTGTCATCACTCCAAAATTTATAGATTTTCGGAGCTTACGGGGTAGGAGGAAATGTTTCAAATGGCGGGAAATGTTTTACAGGTATATGGCAAACACGCATTTTAATTTAATACAAAAATAATTTTCAAATTTTTCAATTAAAGTGAGGTCTGTTATTCTTGATACATTTCCAAACCACCTCTGAGGTATTACCGTGGCGAGTTACCATTTTTTTTAAAGAGTTCACCAGTAGCCATATGTGATATCTCAATATCAAATAAACACCAAGTGATCCGTACGTAATGGCCCATAACGTAATATTACTGAATATTAAAAAGTTCAAGGTGTCAAAATTGAAATAATTATTTTGCCTTTTTAGTAATCATTTCACAATCTATATAAAATGTTGCCGAATTTGGCTGAGGGTTATTATTATTGGCAAGCAATATGATTTTATTTATAATTTTAAATTGTATTTTATGTGATGTCACATGAATGTGATGATGAAATTAGATTTTTTTTTGACGAAACCTTTTGGTAATTTTTACTAAAAAATAAATAATATAAACGTCATTATTTTGTAAAATTGTTTTAATCTTTTTGGAAAAAAATACGAAACAAAAAAGATATGACACCCTGCAACTTTTTTATTATTTAATATTTTATTGCATAAAGCTGAGTCAGATCGTAATATTTTAAAGCCAAGATGCTATTTACCATTGCTCTATGGACCGTTAACTACAGACTACCTTGTTCATAAATTATTGTGAAAATAAATTATACAGGGCGTTTCAAAAAGATTGGTCATAAATTATACCACATATTCTTGGGTCAAAAATAGGTCGATTAAACCGTATTTAGCTATATACAAAAGTGCACCCAAAAATAATTACAGGGTGTATAAGATAAAAATTTAAATTAATTTTTTTAACGTTGCTCTTAAACCGTTTGGCATTTTTTCATGAAATTTTATATGACGTGTTAGAATACCATGACTAATAATACTGAGAAAGAGGCAATATTTTTTTCTTGATTTTTATAGGTTTTTGGAGGGGGTCACCGCTCATTTCTCCACCCAACTTTTTTGTAGTATAAAATTTAATTACAAATGAAACGCCACTGGAATGCAACATCCATTTGGAAACTTTTTTGTCTCCTAGTATTTGTTTGTAAAAAGTTTAGACGATACAGCCATTTGAAATGACAACTTAAAAATATTCAATGGAAATTCTACGTATGAAAAATATCAAAATAAAGTTTATTTTTAAATTACAAACTAATGTCATCAAAATAAAAAAAATTAATTTAACTGGTGTTCAAAATTACATTATCCTCCTGTATACACTTACTACATAGTTTTAACAATGAAAATCGAATTTCGATATTTTTTGCATATTATGCATATGTATAATTTACATTGAAAATTTTTAAGATGTCATTTTAAGTGGCTGTATCGTCTAAACCAAACATTTAAATACATTTTCATCCATGTATTTGTGATAATCCCCGGTTTTTGTGATTCAAAAACGTTAAGCTCACCTTCAACACACCCAGTATCACTGCCAATATGTATGATTATTAAATGACGTCTTTCCCGGAGGTGATTTCAATCCCACAGAGAGCCCTTGTAAGAAGCATCTCGAAGATTTTTAATTTCTAAATCTTGTCAAACTTTTGTAATTATGTACCCTTGATTAACGCAAAGTTTGGCAAGTTTCCAAATATTGTTTTCCCCTCATTGCGGTATCTACGAATTTCCTTTAAATAGTTTCTATGCTAAACAACGATTACCTCTTTTACCAATAGTGCATTATCATGTTTTCTCTTATAAGACTCGACGCGATATTTTTGGCAAATTACTATTCCTCTGTGACTCGGCACTGATTTTATTCACAGTAGGGATTTCAGTACAAAGTACAAACCTGTAGCTGTACCCGCAGCGGCCGTAGAGGGGGTATTTTTTTTTTTTTTTTTTTAGAAAATTCAATTCAAATAGAAAAGGAAAAGTTTTTGTTTGAACAGCTTTTTTGTCACGGGGCCCGATCTAGAGAATTATCCTGGGGTCCGGCCTAGCTCTCGGCGGCCCTGTGTACCCGTTGCTCTTTTCTATGGTCTAGGCGTCCTTGGCATTCCATGTTACAATGAGATTACGTTTTTATGCTCCATTAAGGATGTCTTAGACATTTGGGGGAAGGTAGCTTCCTCTAATCTGGTAATTCTGTCAAGAATTGTAATTAAGCATAGTAGTTATTATTTGGTCCATTGAAGATTCGTTTTCACTTTGATTAGGTCTGTTTTTACCAGCCTTGTTTTAGTATGTCAAATTTGCCATTCTTTGTGCATTATTAATGATAGGAAGTTTGGTTTGGGTATTATTTTTATTGTGGTTAGTTTTGCTTGCCTGGTCTCTTCTGTATTGTATCTCTTTATCAGAAGTGTTAACCTTGAAAGTTATCAATTCTAAAATGATTGTGCTTTGAGAATCTAACCCCCCTTCTATGGCCAATGTATATTTTCAGAAAGTAGGAATTTAACAGTTGATTCAATTCCTAAGGCTCAAATGTAACACATTCTCAAAACTGAAAAGTTGCACATTCGTTGTTTTGGCATTGTACCAATGAATATCGTTAAAATGATGCTCCTGTATTAAATTACAAAACTTGAAATTTTCAAGATATAACTGGGGTATAATAGAGGAATAAAAATTAATACTTTAAGTACATTTACATTTAGCATGTCTAAATCTGTTGTTTGTATTTTAGCCTGTAAGAAGATATAGTTTACTCCCACCTCCTGAAAAGAAAGTAACTTGGCAGGATTATATTAGTGCTGATGTAAATAATTATCCTAGGTTAGGAAGAGAACTTGTTTATAAAGAATCTACCAAAGCTTATAAGGCAACTATAGCAATGGTAAGACTTGCATGTACTCAATTTCTACATACAACACGTTTTGCTTGAAGAGTTAACCTAATATTTTAAAATTTGCAATGTTTTACTAGTATATCATTTTCAGTATGATTGATGACTGACTAATGTGCTCCTTATTTAAATTAAAAGTGATTATTTGTATTTTCAGAGTTCCGAATTCCCCCTGTCCGTAGAAATGTTACTAAACGTCTTAGAAGTTATAGCACCTTTTAAGCACTTTTCCAAATTAAGAGACTTCATAACCTTTAAATTACCAAACGGATTCCCTGTGAAAATTGAAATCCCGATTTTGCCAACAGTCACGGCTAAAATCACATTCCAACATTTCGAATTCAGAGATGACATTCCCAAAAACATGTTTACGATACCAAAAAATTATGTTGAAGATCCAACCCGGTAAGTTTTTTTTTGTATTATGGTAGTTTACTTGTTATTTGGACTTTTAGATTTTTATCATGATCTCAACAATAAAAATGTCTGGTGTCTGGTTTTCGACTCTTTGTAATTAAATTTTTTGTAATGAAAAATTTGAATAGCGCTTTCAACCTTAAGGTAGTTCACTCGTAAAACGGCTTTTCTTAAGAATTCAATAAAATTTAAATATAAGGTTTATGAAAGTGTTGTTTACGTAACTAAAAAAAATTAGATTTTTTGACCATCTGTGAAACGAGATATTAACAATCAAAATGTGAATAATTAACACTCTTGAAGCCTATCATGTACACAAGCAATGCATTTATTTCAAGATATCTCGAAAACGGTTCTTACCATATTTTTTAAAAACTAATGTTAAATAAATCAAGAAGTTATTAAATTTTATAGATAATCGCTGAATTTTTTGACTATCTTAGTAAAAAGATATAGATTTTTAAAATAAAAACATTTTTAAAGCAGTTGACGAGTAGTTTCGTGAAATTATTACAACTTGGCAACATTGTAGCCACTTCACGTATCGAAGTAACACTCGATCAGCTAAGAGGTTGTTATAAACTCGCGACGTGTTCTTGAAAAATTAATTCGTCTACTGTGTTTGAGAACTGGAATCAGCGGTTCTGTTTGAACCAAAACAAACCCTTAAAATTAGTATGAGGAAGTCACAAATTTCTATACCATATCGTTTAAATATTTGCGAGTTTGCCGGATGAAATTGAATAAAAATATAACTTGTCCATATGTGTTTATATACATGTGTTTTGTACAGTCTCTTACAAAAATAAAATTTATTAGCATTGAGAATCTCGAACTTTTGGTATTCACCATTACGCGATATTTTTATGTACGACTGTCGCGAGTGAACTACCTTAAGCCATCATCACTGCTTGCCTACAATAAATTGTGTTTTTTGAAAATATTATAGATTAAAACAATTATTTTGACAAATTATGATGATTGATGATGGCTTAAGGCCGAAAGCGCTTTGCAATTTTAAATAAATTTCACATGAAATAAGTTTTTCATTGCTAATGTAAGCTACTTGCAGACAGCCTCAACCTCTTTTGGTTCATTTTAATTCAATTTATTTTTCACTGTTTTTGTTTGTTGTTTCTTCTGTCTAGTTATTTTAATATTTTGTTTTGAGATAGTTTTTAAAATAGATAATAAGTAGAGGGGATCAGCTAATTTCAGCAAATTCTCAGCAACTGTTACTATTAAATATGATTTTACTTTTTATTTTGTGTCAATCATGTGTCGTCAATATTCTAACCTCTAGCTATTTATTTAACAGCCAAATAATTAGTTTCAAATTAATTTGAATCACAGCTAATACTATGAAGACTAGAGAGAAGGAGGCGAATCGGCAATGGTCAAATTTCCGTCCTTTTTATAAAGTTCTCCAAATTGACTGTAGTTGGCAGGTCGAACGTTACTGCTGTTCATTTACTATTTAATTCAATGTAAAATGTATACAGACGTATTTTCCACTTGATAAAGCTAAAATGAACTGAATTTTTCTGACAGTTCGCCGTCATTATTTGTTTTCATTTACAGCGCCTCATTTTTAAGCGATCACCAGTGGTTTTTTTAGTTCTATGTATAATTTGATGCCATATTTTAAAGGGAGTTGAAATGTAATTCCTCATGCTGTGCACTTGTAAACCAACACTTATTTTTTAATTTGCACCTCATAGTGAAGTGATTGAGGTGTTATTGTAAAGCTGAGATCTTACCGGTCTTAATGCTAAAAAACAGAGTCGTCTACAAATAATACATAATTTAAAGAATAATTTCCTTATTACAAATTGATTTCAGGTTTCCAGACTTATGACGCCCTGAGCTATTGAACTGGTTCGAGCTAAGTTACACTAAAAAGCCTGAGTTCCTCTTGCCATACGATCGCCAACGTCAACTAGTGGCCACCACAGCGATTGCAAACCGTCCGTCCAAATTGGTCAAGAAACTCTACAAGAAAAACAAAACTACAACTGCATTGGCAAACAACAATCAAGAATACTCTGCGCCGAACAGTAACTCCACTATTATCGTAGAAGTGCCAATGCTGTTTACACTAGGCAGCATCTACAGTACTAACTGTCTAGTTTATTTAGAGTAGGTAATCTGAAATGAGAGTATGAATGTATGAAGAACATCGTGTGCCTGACACTAAATTACTTTTGCTTTGATTAGATTATGGCCCGGGGTAAATGGATAGTGGTTTTATGAAGAAAACAAAATATCACTTTTATTATCGATCCCAATAAAAATTAAACGTCAAATTATAAAACCGTGTACACATAATGCTTTTGTTTATAATAGTACTAGTTTTTTTGTCTACAAAGTTATAGTTGTGTACTACAATAAAATAAAGTAAGTTTAACCTATAGTCCACTTATACAGTGCAAGGACCTTGCAAAAAATGAGAACAATTTTATTTTTCAGTGGCTAATAGTAATGTTTTCGAGGGTACCGAACACGAATTTGATGTATTCACCACACTTTCCAGTATAGTTAGATTATTTCCCCCGCCAAAATTAAGGTGTCCATCTAATCAAGAAGTGTTTAAAATAAGAATTAAAGATAAATAATTCATCAGATGAAACTTTTATTTAAACAATTTTCTTAAAAATTCGAATTTTGCACTTTTTGTCAAATTAGTAATTATGCTGCACTGATTCTAGACCAGCCATACTCAACCTGCGGCCCTCCAAGCTGTTCTGTGCGGCCCTCCAAGCTTTTTTGTACGGCTCCAAACAGGATCATTAGTAATTGAAATGGTTGACCTATAGTCCTGTCCTTATTACTTTTCAAAGCCTTAACACCACTAAAACAACATAGGACCTTTCTTTTTGGAATGTATGTAAAGTAAAACAACATAAGGCTCTTTTTTTATAAATTTAAACAACACGAAGACTTTTTTTTTGAAAGTATTATGTAAACTAAAACAATATGAGTCTTATTTTTTTGAAAGTAGTATGTAAACTGAAACATTATGAGGACCTTTTTTTTTTTTCTTTTTTAGAATGTAAAAGAACATTGTGGCCGGTGTAGCATAACAAACAGATTTATGTGGCCCGAAAGAAAAAAAGGTTGAGTACAGCTAGTTCTAGACCATTCCTTATGCAAATTAACATGGGAATGGTATGATGACTGGCTATGACATCACGTTTATTCTTTGTAGGAGATGCTAATGCTATTTCGCGCCATTTCTTATCTGTCTAAGGGATCTCTCGAGGTTGGTCGACCCATCAACGTTCCGCGCTGTTTATATAATATCTAGTAACAATTTTTTAAATGCCTTCATAGAGTAATGGTTAGGACGATGTGCGTTATCTGATGGTTTCATAACAGACGTCGGCTCAATCCCCCGGTCCAGCTTTTTTTTATTTAATAAAATAATAGTGTTTGGTTTATAAAATTATAGAGATTGAATTAAACTATTAAAATGGCGTATGGCGGGTTGTTGCGATAATAAATATGAATATGGTGAGTTGCAGAATGGCAGATTACTAAATTAATAAATGACAGCTTCCATCTAGTCAGTGGCGGCCCGTGAGGGAGTGCCACTGTGCCATGGCACTACCTTATTTTTGATGCAAAAATATATTTTTTATTTTTAAAACGTCTTATCATATTTTTATTTTATGCATTTTTTTACATTCATAAATTATTTGAAATGTGACAACCTCGCGCTGCATAAATCTCCAAGCTCTCGCCGCAACCGGTGCCATTTCTCAGCAGGCACTAGGGGAGAGAGAGAGAGAGATTTTACCAGCAGCCTATGTGAGCGACAGAGATGGGGACATTTTATATGTATTTAAATGGTAAAATCAAGGAAAGTGTACCGGCACAGCGGCTCAGTTAATTGCGGTTTCTCGATAATGTCGATTGATGAATTAACAGAGTTTCTTTACGCGCTTTTAAGTTTTTCGTTACGTTACGAAGTGTTAGTGACGTTAATGTGTGTCTTTTCGGTTTCGATAAACTTGTTTAAATATCTTATTTCCTAGTTTTTAATTTATTGTGACAATGAATAAAATTGGCGTCTTAAAAAACTCTTTTAGTGGTTTTTCGCTTGAAGAAAAACTACAAATTAAAGAATTAGGCCGGCCAATTCCCGATTTAAAAATTGAAAAACAAAGTGGAAGTGGGCAAAAATCGGGGTGTCGTAAATTTAATAAAACTATTTATGATAAAAATAAGTGGTTGTGTGGTTGCGAAGAAACTAATAAACTGTTTTGTTTTGTATGTGTTGTTTGGAGGTGACGAGACTTGGTCAAAAAAAGGTACAGACGATCTTGTCCATATATGGGATAAAATGAAATCGCGTGAAAAATCTAAAGTGCACATGAATAATATTTTTAGCTTTTCCATGCTTTGTAAGTTAAATATAAAAACCCAGTTAAATTCGGCTTATCGTGATGCTCTAATTAAACATAATCAACAAGTGGATAAGATTCGATGTTTTAAATCAAATTATAAATTGTATAAGGTTTTGTGGAGCTTTTGAGTTAGCTTTAAGGGGTCGCGATGAGAAAGATAATTCAGAAAATAGAGGCATATTTAAGGAGCTGGTGAATTCCGTGAATTTTAGCGCCGAATTAGACAACGACTTAAAGGTTCATATTCAAAGTTCAAAAGCTTTCAAGGTACCTCAAATGAACTTCTTGTGTGTATGTTAGATGTTTATCATGAAGAAGTTAGGAAAGAAATAGAAAATTCTTCTTTTGTTGCAGTCATTGTCGATGAAACGACGGACGTTGCTTATGAATTTCAATTAGTTATAGTTTTCAGATATTTGTGTAAAGGACGACTAGTTGATATATTTTGGAGGTTTTACGTGCTCGATGAACACGACGCCAAATCAATCGCTGAATGCATTTTAAGTGTTTTACATCCATTATTAAAACAGTCCAAATAAATTAATTGCTCAAAGCTATGACGGCGCGACTGTAAAGAGTGGTGGATTAAATGGTGTGCAAAAAATTATTAAACAAACATATCCTCTTGCAAATTACGTTCATTGCTATGCACACCAGATGAATTTAGTTATGATAAGTGCATGTTCTGTCAATAAGCAGGCTAGAATTTTTTTTTTATTTTTCTGGTTTGTGCTCTTTCTTTTCCACCCCAACTAACCTTTTTAGATTTATCAAAGTATACAAGATAACCATAAAAACCTTTTTTAAAACTTTTGAATCCGCGAGATAGCCTTAGGGCTGCTATAAATCTGCTTTAAGAGTAAAAGGGAGAATCCTATAACAGTTCTCAAGAGTATTTTTAAAACAATATTTTAAAACTAATTAGACCTAAGTCAAAGTCCGTAAGAGTATATTAAGAATTTTATTACACCATTTTGAAATCTATTTTCTACATCCGCATTATAATAATGCACTTATATGCCCATAATCCGTTTCATAATGATACCCATTATGATACAGTTTTTTCATAACGATACAGATTTTTAATTAATAGAAACCCATAATTTTTTAATCAAGCATGCTATGCATTTGACGTTTGTCCTAGGTTCCTATGTAATTGTTATAGTTGTCAAAATCAGTACGTATTAAATTTTCGTAGATAGCTAAACTTCGATAATTTGATTATGAAAATGTCAGCGATATAGAAGACTCCTCCACACATATCGGAGAAAGCAGTAAATGCAGTACAAAATATTTTGCCCCAAATATCTATGGTAATACCATTAATTACAATTTTGGAGAATTTTTATAGAAATACGAGTAATTACTGTTATTGTGTTCAATACAAATAAATGTAATATTTATAGTTCTTGATTATTTATCGGGTGTAGAAAAAATAGCGTATGCAACTCTCATGTAATGGTTATTAATACACTCGCATAAACCATACAAAACTCGCCTTCGCCTCGTTTCGTATTCCAGTTAATGCTCGTGTATTAATAACCATCATTACATGATCATTGCATAATATACTATTTTAAGAATATGATAATAAGTGGGATAGGCATAAAAACTTTAGAAAACTAATCAGTTTTAAGAGTATTAAATTTTAAACTGTTTTACCTTTATTCTGTCAGAATGATTTTGCAAACATGTTGGGAAGACTGCCATATTAGAAATTAATTATATAGTGTAAGTTTAATTTGTTTGGTTAACACTTGTTACTTCCTCAATTTTCAAACAAACACCAAAGTACTGTTAAAAGTGGGCAAGCTGGGTCATAATAAATTATGGCCCTTACAATATATGAAATTTTGTAAAAAAAAGTATTAATATACAAATTCTAATCTATTTACTGAAAGTTATTTAATAGAAAAAACATTGTAAATATCGTATATATAGCACCATAAAATGATTACACTTGTTTTTGATATAAAATATCACATTTTGTGTTTTTCAAGTTATTTCATGGAAGTGACTATTTAACAGCCAATATAAATCCTATTGTAAATTTGTCTTTGCAGGGATACTTGTCATCGTCAGAAAACTATTTTCAACTGCCTATAAAACCTACTGGAGACTACCAGAAACAAACGTGTTTAATCATAAGTAATATTAGGCGAGAAAAGATTCGTAAAGCATTATATCATAGCATGTTCCAATATAAATTACATTTATATACCCCAAAATATATTTGGCAAATTTGATATTATGTGGTCAAACGCAGTAAACGCACTTAATAATAAATCTACTGTCATTGGTACACTATCATTGTCTTTGGTACCAAATTACGCCATCACTAAAATCAAAAAATTTAAGAATTATTTAAACTTTGGCCGTAATTTACTTTAATATTCAAAAGTAAGTTATTTGAATATCCATTAGGTACATGTCTAGTAGACATGGTATG